TCAAGAAGGCAGCTCACCACCCCCTTCTCGAGGGCAACTAGGGGTGGGCAATAAATGCTGGCCAGCCAGCGACGCCCACATCCCACAAAATGAATAGTAAAAAACATTATGATGAAAGGTATTAGGTTTATATATTTGTATTAATGTCATTTTCAGAGTTTCGGTTTTCAAATTGTGGCATATGGGGTTGATTACCGAAGGGTTTAAAAAATAACTCAGTCAGATCTAATCCAATATGTGTAAGAGAGCAGGGATGCCCTGGAGCATAATGATCGATTGTTTTTACAACAGATGGGTAAATATTGAAGGCCATTAGCTTGCTTTGGGTTCAAGATAATCAAGGATTGATTTTAGCTTAGAAAACTCAGAGATTGAAAGCTTTGAGAGCTATTTGGAGGACACCTGAAGCAAATATAGTTTTTCTCCTAAAAATGAGTATAGGACTGTTCAGGGAAAGCACAGTTACCTCTGTATAAAAATCACTTTGTGAAACATGTAAACCAGCAGTGTTTCGTGATAAATGTGCAGGTTATTCAAAGCTGAGAAATCTAAGCTCTCAGTTCTGTGGGTATTCATGTAAGAATACTTAACAGTTCACAGGAAGGGACTGAGGAGAATAAGTTAAGTCAAACTTAAAGATTTCATATAGAGAGATAATTTCTCTGGATTTGAGTCTCTATAACAGGTGTGTTGAGAAACAGGATGAGAATCGGTTTTGCTGTGTGTTTTAAGGTCTTTCAAGCTGCGTTCTAAATTTAGCTTGGTTTCTTTTGTGTTCTTCTGTTGAAGAAAGGCTGCAGTTTTATGTGACCAAATTTCAGCGAATGTCCACCACATTAACCAAAATAAAGAAAGTGTGATCTATCAAACAAGATTTTATTCTGGATCTAACTTGTCCATCTTGGATCATAGCATCTTCAGAGATTAATTGTCTATTAAAAGAAGGCCCTCGTGAATGCATGGATGGCATTGTAGCCCTATTTAGCATCAGTCTGAGGGTTTCATATTAGGGTCATTAGAAATGCCTCTGGGGGAACCACATAGGGTAGCTCTGGCGATGATATTGAGAAGTGAACATTTGAGGAACCTGGGAGTTGTGTAGAATGTAAATGCTTTGACAGTTCCCTGGATAGCAGGTACACACCTGCAGGAACTGTTGCCTGTGGTCACAAAAGAGCTGGACTTTGAGGGAGTGGAACCCTTCCTGTTTAGGAATCTGGCTGGATAATGCGATGGATGTAGGCGATGGTGTCTCCAATGATGCAACATCTCCTGCAATGCCCTTCACTCATCTGCATGTAGCTTCAACATCTTCAATGAATCCTGTCTTGGCACACTGCTGAATGGTGCTGAAGACCCTGGTTCCCATCGTCAGGTGCTGCTTTTTTGTCTACAGCTGCAGCCCCTGAGCCTTGTTTCCCTGGTCCATCTTTGAAGCAAGTACTTTCCTTCATTGTTAAACTTTGAGAGCTCACACAAGAGAATTTTTCAGTTTTTATTTTGATTCCCTTAGTTAGGTGTGCTTGCATTGCTGGGGAACACATGCAAACAGGTCTCCGGCCCTGCCAACTTGTACTGTGCATTCTCTATGAGGACTTCTTTTGTGGGCTCATTTAGGTGAGAAATGGTGATTGTAAATTTTTAATTTCATTCATTCATCCTCCATTCTCTACCTTACACTACAATATTCGGGGAGGCAATGGCCTAGTAGTAATCCACCAACTCAGGAATTGTTCTGGGGACCCAAGTTTGAATCCTGCCGTGATAGATGGTGGAATTTGAATACAATAAACATTTTGAATTAAGAGTCTAATGATGACCATGGATCCATTGTTGATTGTCAGGAAAAAACATGTCTGGTTCATTAATGTCCTTTAGAGAAGGAAACTGCCATCCTTACCTGATCTAGCCTACATGTGACTCCAGACCCACAGAAATATGGTTAACTCTTAACCACCCTCTGGGCAATTAGGGATGGGCAGTACATGCTGGCCTAGCCGGTGATACCCTCATCCCATGAATGAATAAACAAAACACTTCATCCTGCATTACTGTCAACGGTCTTCTCCATTCCCTTGGCATTCCTTCTGTCCTTATTCTATCATCCTCTGTGACCACCAGCTGTTTCACTATCTTCTTCACTATATTTCTACTCTTCCCCTGATCCCACTCTCATCCATAACTCTATAACCAGCTTTATCCCACAGCACCCTTTACCCAATCTGCCTGATGTTTCTCCCTCCCGAGCACCTAGTTACTCCACTGTGATCCATACTCTAAATATGCAGCTCCCATCCTTCCTTGTCCTCTTGTTCCTGTCACTGTTAATCTCCATTGTGCATCCCAGTTTGCTCCCTCTATTCCCCTGGACCTTTCAGTGCCCCTAAAAACCACACCTTTTCGGTTCCATTTGTTATCATTTCTTTCTACATAACCCACCTTTATCTCAACTGATTGAGTTGAGCCCCAGTGCTCAGGCTTGCTGATGTCAGCTAATGTGCTGCCACATCTGGACAGGCCTCTTGACCTATTCAGGCTTCATCTCTTGCACTGTAAGCATGTAACACCACAAGTAAGATGCATATGACTAAGACTTTTCATGAGTTGGTTCCCCAGGTCAGGCTTCAGTCCTTACACTGCAAGTGTTTGTGTAAAGAAGTGGCTCATTATGAAGGAGAGAAATTACTGAAAAAGTTTGTACTACACCAGAGTTTTGTAGGAAAAAGTCCACAATGCCAGGAACATATTAGCAGTTGGGTTTGTGAACACACTTGTTCACCATTTTACTCTGGCAAGACTGTACCTGTGAACATAATTCCAGTGCATAGGAGTGTCAATGTATGCTTATGATATGCTAATGAATGCAATCTGGCCATCAAGGTCAGAAAAGCTGACTCACCTGAAAGGCTAATGGAGCTTAGAACATAACACTAAAACTTTAACCTGCCAATGGGAAACTGAATATTTGCCCCTTACCCAATAAAGGTCCTCCTCCAGCTCTTTTAAAAGCTCCATGCAGGTCCAGAAGATCTTGCCTTACAATTCTCCCCAGCGTGTGATGTGAAATAAAAATGCAGCATGGAGTTTTCAGTCATCTTAGGAAGGTAAGAAAATATATTTACAGTAGTTTAGTGTGTTAGTTGCCTGCTAAATAATGACTTGAATTTTTTATTCATTCACGTGATGTGGCCAACATTTATTGCCCATCCCTAATTGCCCAGAGGGCAGTTAAGAGTCAACCACGTTGCTGTGGGTCTGTATCACATCTAGGCTAGACCAAGTGATGATGGCAAATTTCCTTCCCTTAAGGATATTCGAGAACAGATGGGTTTTTACGATAGTCAACAGTTGTTGCATGGTCATTATTAGAAGCTAGCTATTTACCCCAGTTTTTAAAAATTGAATTCAAATGTCACCATCTGCCAAAGAGAGATTTGAACCTGTCTCACCAGAACTTTAGCTTGGATTGCTAGTTCAGTGATATTATCACAATGCCACCAACTTCGCTCAATGTTGATTTTAGTTTGTTACAGTAAAAGTCTTAAAATGTGAAATCTTTTGTGGTCCTTTGAGTCAGTCACTGGGAATTCTAATCTCTTTTTAACTGTTATTAGTCTCCATGGGGATTGTAATACTTGTATTAAATTAGTTTATAGAAATATCATAAATATCACGTTCTTTGTATAATCTGTTTAATTGTAAGCATGTTATAAGACAGAAATGTGGTTAGTTAAGTACAGCAACAGCTCCCTGAAAGAATCTTTCATAAATTCAGCTTCAATGAGTAATTGCAGTAAGAACTAAATGACATCTAATATTCCTATACAAATAATTTAGCATTCCACGCACACTGGGGGTGCAATTTTCTTTTTCTGAGGCTATGTGTGAGACAGGTGTATTATTTAACTGCTGCCCCACCATCAAGAAAGCATGCCATATCAGATGCCAACCACTTGTTAACAGTGGACTGGTGAGCTTTGGTGGGCTTCTTAGACTGTCACAGTCCTTGAAGATAGCATCCAGCTTACCAGAAACTGCCAGTCAATCAAAGACCATCATTCGATGACTATTGCTTAGGAGATTTAACAGTGAGAAAGAAGTTTCTTTTTTAATTTTTCTTTTCACGGGTGGCGGGATCGATTCCAGGGAGGTCAGAGACAAGAGCAGAAAGGTGGCTATCAGAGGCTATGACTGTGGTCCCATCTGTACCTCCGATTGCTCCCAGATTGAGACTTATGGAGGCCCCCATCCCCCAAATGTGGCTGACAGGGCATCCTGGTAACCAAGTCAGTAAACCAGACATTCTTCTCACCTGCTAGGAAAGAAGGTAATTGGAGAAGTGGCGATTTGATACTTCAAGACCTTTAATTGTTGAAAAGTTGAGAAAGTCCCTAATTAACTTTCTTATCCATTTGGTGAGAAAGCAAAAAGGGAGTAAGCGTCTCTCCAGAGCCAACTTGCTCAATTATTTCCCCTTCTTGTCAACGCCAGAGAGGATAATATTGTGCCCATTGGACTTCTTTCATAGATTTTGACAATATAATTTGATTTGGTTGTCTGCATATGCTTTTGATGGTAAGTCTGAAACTGTACATATTAAAATAAATAGGAATCTTGCCTATGCTAGATTTGAGGCTGCACAAGTTTCTCCTTGTTGTGGACCTGATAGGCTGTTTCCTGAAATTATCTTGTCAGTAAATTATTGGTTAAAGGACCACATTGATTTGCCATTATCCCCCAGGGTGTTGAAGCTCCATCAATAATGTCTCCACCCATGTTGTGCCATTTTGGATGAATGTGGGGGAGTTGCACAATGCAACCTAAGTTGAGTCAAAATTTCTCCTTCAGATGTTCTCATATTGAAGGAATCTCTTGTTGAACGAGATCAAGGCAGAAACCAGAATGTTATTCTCCAGGGTAGGGGCAAGTTAGGCAGGATAGGGCAGGATTTCCTTCCTGCCTTACTGACTTTTGCCCAGCAAATTATTAGAAACATGTAATTGATATATCATGAAGCTTTATTTTGTAGAGGTGATGCCAATTTCAAAGGCTCCCCATGACAGTAACTTGTTTCTGAAAAGAATGGCTGACTACAGAATGTCCAGAAAAGTAAAAGATATTTAGAATTGCAAAACCACTTTTATATAACTACACACAGCTATAATAATTAACATACACATTTAGTTTCATTTACGTATATTCAACGCTAATGGCTTAACAATAATTAGTGACATATGTATGTTAGTGTTCTCAGTCTACATTCAGTGTGGTAAAATTTGCAGGTGGTAGGTACGCAACTAAATACTTGTGCACTGCTACTGCTGTGGATAGGATTAGTTCCCATATGTTTCATGAGTGTGTGTCTGGCATGGCTATTATGCGTAATGTACAACATTTATATATATTTGGAGGTTCATAGAATATGTTTGAAAATGTTGTGATAACACAAGTGAGCTATATCCATGAATGGTTGTGTATGTCTCCAGACTCTTTCTTCGTTGTGTTGGGGAAATATATCTTTGCTGATCCCTTGATACTTGCACTGTCTGGAATACATTATTCAGTAATTTCTGAGAGTGTATTCCCCTGGAATTGATCCTCGGCAGACACAGTTTGATTTTCTTGTTAACATATGTAACTTGGTTAGCAACTGGTCACAGTGGTAGTTTCCGATCTTCCTAACATACCTAGCACATAACAACACCTAAAACGGATTGGATGATAGTGAGACCATACTGTGCACAAATTAAACATTGTGTTTCCTACATTAAGACAGAGGCTACTTAAGCATTTATTTGACTGTAAAGCACTTTGAAACATCCTAATTTTGTGAACGACATATTATCATTGTGAGTCTATCTTCCTTATGGATGCATTGGTGGCAGTGTGAGTCTAACTGTTAGTAAATGCATCTTAATGTGACATCTCAAGCCTAGTTTTTAGCTGGTACTGTTAACAGCACAACACACAAATCCAAAGCAGTATCATTTTTCAGAATCTTCTTCCTCTCCTTCAGTTGGGACTTCTACAGATAAGATTTGTCCCTTAGACTTGCGGTGTGAGGGGCTCATTCTGATCAGCACAGAGTAATCCGAAGATTTGGAAACAACCTCATCATCATCATCATCATCATCCTCCACCTTTTCCACTGGAACAGGTGATCGGCGATGGACAGGGGAGGCAGGAGGCTTTGGAAGAGGCTAGATGGTAATTCGGGGATGGGGTAAGAAAGAAAATACAAACAATAAAAGTAGTATGAATAGTAAACAGCACAGATTTCTGTCACAGAATTATGCTCTGAGTATGAGAATAGGGATATATTTTTACAATGCTTTCAAAACTGAATGAAAATGCAGGTGGAATTTTAGGTTGTTTAAATTGCCCACTTATCCATCATCTTAATCATATTGACACTCCTGAGCAAGGTTTTGATTTAGAAAGAACAAAGATAAGCATACGTTGCTCAGACAACATTGGAACAGTGAAGACATTATTAGAAACAGTAAAACTTGTACATTTTGTAAAATGTATTGAAGATAGGAACAAGGTTTTTTTTTAAAATCCCTACAGTGTGGAAACAGACCCTTCAGCCCAACAAGTCCACGCCGACCCTCAGAGCATCCCATCCAGACCCATCCTCCAATAACCCCCCTAATCTACACATTCCTGAACACTTTGGGCAATTTAGCATGGCCAATCCGCCCAGCCTGCACATGTTTGGACTGTGGGAGGAAACCAGAGCACCCGGAGGAAACCCACACAGACACAGGGAGAATGTGCAAACTCCACACAGACAGTCGCCCGAGAGTGGAATCAAACCCAGGTCCCTGGCGCTGTGAGGCAACAGTGCTAACCACTGAGCCAAAGGTTGTTACTATTTGTTATTTTGCAAGAACAAGAGACAACATCTAAATCTAATCAAATGACCCAAGCATGTAGGTTTGTAGTTAAATACTTAATTGCTTAAGTTTTGCTGAAGAAAGACATATTCTGTCGAAGCATTTTGTCCTGCATTCAGAAAGACAATTTGCAAGAATACCAACTCAAGGTGAAAACCAACAATTACACTGTATAAGAGGAGAGTGCTGATTAGTTGGTAAGTAGAGTCTGATTGGTGGAGGTGTTGCCATGGAGGATGCAACTCAACAAAATGTGTGACAGCCATTCGCTGGTTCATATCTCAGGGTAGTGCTCTGATCGGTCAGAGTCAATTTTCCTCGTTTAACATTTATACAAAGCTCCAGCCACCTCCTTTTTACTGTGAACATGCAATCCCCTTACATCAGGATGGTCTCTGGGCTCTCTGCTTCTTCCCGGAAAAAGGCATGAACCGTCTCTATCCACCACCACCTTCCTCCGCCTGGCCGAGCTCGTCCTCATTTTGAACAACTTCTCCTTTAACTCCTCCCATTTTCTTCAGGTCAAAGGGGTAGTTAGGAGTACCTGCATGGGCTCCAGTTATGCCTGTCTCTTTGTGGGGTACGTCGAACATTTCTTATTCCAGTCCCACTCTGGTCCCCAGCCACAACTTTTTCTCCAAGACATCAATGACATCATCATGCTTCCCTCTCTCGTCCAGAATTGGAAAAATCCATCCATTTCCCTTCCAATTTCTACCCTGCTCTCTCCTTCATCTGATCCATCTCTGACTCCTCCCTTCCCTTCTTCAACATCTCCGTTTCCTTTATTGGCCTTAGGTTAGCCACCAATATCCATTACAAACCCACTGACTTCCACAGTGACCTTGACTATATATCCTTACACTTCGATTCCTGTAAAGACTCTATTCCATTATCCCAGTGCCCGTGTCTCCACCACATTTCTTCCAATGATGCCAACTTCAAAAAGGGAGCCTCTGAAATGCCCACCCTCTTCCTGAACTGAGGATTTCCCACCACTGTGGTTGACAGGACCCTCAGCCCTCACTTTGGCCTTCACCCCCTCTCTTATCTTCTACAACAGCAATAGGGTCTCCCTTGTCCTTATGTACCGCCCCACTAGTAGCCACATCCAAAGGATCACGAGCTGCCATTTCCACCATCTCCAGTGGGATGCCACCACCAGACACACATTCCCCTCTCCTCCCTTGTCAGTCTTCCACAGGGACCGTTTCCTTCAGGACACCTTGGTCCACTCCTGCTCCACTCCTACCATGTCCTCACACCCCACAGCACATTTCCATGCAATTGCAGAAGGTGTAACACTTGCCCGTTTACTTCCTCCCACCTCACTATCCAAGGCCCCAGACATACCTTCCAGGTGAAATGACGATTTACCTGCACTTCATTCAATCTAGCGTACTGTGTTCACTGCTCACAATGTGGTCTCATCTACATTAGGGGGACGAAACACAGACTGGGTGACAGCTTTGCAGAACACCTTTGTTCCATCTGCAAAAATGACTCTGAGCTTCTGGTTGCCTGCCATTTCAACACATCACCGTGTTCCCTGATCAACATCTCTGTTGGCATTGCTACAGTGCTGTAGTGAAGCTTAGCGAAAGATGGAAGAGCAATACCTGATTTTCCATTCAGAAATCTGCAACCTTCTGGACTCAATATCGAGTTCAATAATTTTAGGGTATAAGTACCTTCTCCATGTCCTTACTGCAACTCCCACATATGTGGTCTTGTCATCACATGGCCTGATACCACAAAAAATACATTGTCAGCTCCTAATGATTTCCATTAGCAGCTATTCATTCTCCCAGGTTGACCTTTACTCCCTCTTGATGAAGTATCATCTAGACTCAAAATGTTAGTGCGCTTTCTCCCTGTGGGTTGCAGCCTGACAAAAAACAAAATTTTTGTTTTCAGTGTTTTTCTCTCTCTCTGGGCTCCATCTCCACCTTTTGTTTACTCCTTCCTCCCCTCGCCATCTCTATCGTATATACCCACCTTTTCCTAGCTACAATCAGATCTGAAGAAGGCTCACTGGACCTGAAATGTTAACGCTGCTTTCTCTCCACAGATGCTGCCAGACCTGCTGAGTTTTTCCAGCAATTCCTAATTTTGTCCCTGGTAATTAAGTGTCAGCATTAATGATACATTATTTGAGTCATAGAATCATAGAGTCCTACAGCATGGAGACAGGTCCTTTGGCTCAAACTGGTCCGTGCCGACCAAAATGTCCATCGCCCATTTCTCTGCACTTGGCCCATATCCTTCTAAACTTTTCCAATCCATGTATTTGTCCAAATGCATTTTAAATGTTGTTAATGTACCCGCACCAACCACTTCTACTGGTAGCTCATTCCATATGCGTACTATCCTCTGTGTAAAAAAGTTGTCCCTCAGGTTCCCATGTCTTCTTTCCCTTCTAATTCTTGATTCCCCAACCCTGGAAAAAGACTGAGTACATTCACCCTATCCATGCCTCTCATGATCTTATACACTTCTATAAGATTCCCCCTCAGTCTCTTACGCTCTATTCATGAATGCAGGATGAAAAGCTTTAACAAAATAGTATCTTTATTCAGCAGCAATGAAGTTCTGTACTACCAAACACGTTTACTTAGTTACCAGCGTATTAAAGTAGTTGTATAATAGCAAAGTCATTGATTAAAGAAAAATAGATATAATAGCATAATAATGATGTTGCTGGACTAGCTCTCAAGGGGCTTGGACTAATGATCCTGACACAGGAATTTAAAATCCCATTGCAGCAGCTGGCATTCAGAAATCCAGAATTGAAATTTAGTCTCAGTAATCGAGACCACTTAAATTGTTTTGAAAACCCATCTGATTCACTTCATGCTCTTTAGGAAAGGAAATATGCCAATTTAATCTGGTCTGCAAGCTAAGTTGGTGAAACAGACAGGAACATGACAGATAAAAATTAATGCAGAGAACTGTGAAGTTATATTTTGAAAAGAAGAAAAGAATTTAGACGATATAAAATAAAGTGTGTAGATGTGTACCTGGGTGCATAGGTGCACAAATAATTGAATGTGACAGATCGAGAAAGTGGTTAAAAGGGCTTACAAAATTGTGTTTGAAGAATAGAGAAATAAAGTGCCTTAAAGCAAGACAGTTATGACACATCTTTCTAAAATGCTGGTTTTGCTTCAACTACAGTTTTATGACTAATTCTGGGCCTTGTGATGATACCATGGCTTTAAGAAGTGTATTTTGTCTTTTTTTTATGAAGAAAGATTGAGACAGAGGTATTGGGTGATCTGCTCAAAGCCAAAAACAAACAGCCTGTGAGGCCATGAGTTTTTTTAAAACTGGATCAAATTAAGCAGCCTGAATAGGTGGAGCCAAGCTTCCACAAAACCAGGATTTTTAGTTTTGTTTTCAGCAATTGCTGGGGTCTTGAAGCTGGATGTGGAAGCTTTTATTCCTCTCTCTGTTACACCTGAAAGCTGGGGTTCTCTTCCTGCTGCTAGAATTGCATGTGAGACAATCTATTTTACTGAAGTTGCCTTTGCAAAAGATGTGTTTATAGGATGTTACTATATTGGAACAGTTAATCAGTAGCAGTTAATAATATATATATTATTTTGATAAGCATTTAAATGGAGTTACAATTAAGCCAATTCTTTTATTTCTATTTTGCCTGTATTTTAACTGTAGTGTAGAAATAAAATGTTTTTCTTAAATCCAATTAGTTTAACCAATCAAATTGCATTTGAATGCAACATCTTACACTTAGCCTCGACCCTATTTTTTTCTTATTTTAAAGCTATCTTCTTAATATACTTTGAGGGGGTTTGGTCTGGTCCATAACAGCATAGTGAAGGATTTAGACATGGTACAAAAAGGAATTTACAAGAATGGTTCCAGAGATGAAAGACATCAATTACGTGAACTGATGAGAAAAGTTGGGGTTGTTCTCCTTAAAATATTGAAGGATATCTAAAAGAAGTATTTAGTATTATGAGGGGTGTAGACAGTAGATGGAGAGAAAGACTAGTCCCATTGACAGAAAAAGAATCAGAGGAAACCAATATAAGGTGAATGACAAAAGAATCTACAAGAACATGAGGAACAATCTTTTTTACACAATGAGTTGTACATTAATGGAATGCATTGCCTAAGTGTATGGTGGAGGTAGATTCAACTGTAGCTTTGAAGGGGAAATTGGATAAGTATCTGAAGAGAAAGATTTGCAGGGCCGTGGAGAAAGGGCAGGAGAATGGGACTAGTTGAGTTGTTCTTGCTGAGAGCTAGCAGTACATGATTGGTTGAATGGTCTTCTGTTCTTTTTGACTTTTTAGAGCAATTGTGTCATTTTTGTGAGTTTAACATGGGGATGTGGCTTTCCACATTTAGTTAGCCTTGCATCTATTATTTAGCCTGCTTACATTGGAAGCTCCAGCACACACTTGGAGTTGTGGGTAGATGGAGGCAAAGGTGGGTGTTGCATTGCACCAAGGCCATGAAAGCCAGAAGTGTTAAGTCCACACTTTTTAAGTTTCACTGTAGGAGTTTTGGGGCTGGAAGCCTCTTCGTTGTGATTCTGAACAGGAACCTTCAGAACTTTAGTCACAACCATTTCTACAGACTTCTGGAAAGAGGCATGCATCATTTAGAACAAGCCTAAAGAATTACTTAAGAGCATTTTTTTCTTCATCTAGAGACCCTACAATTCTATTTCCCTGGCTGGGGAGGATATTAGAAACATGTAATAGCTGATAGGAAAAGAGCAGAAAATAGGATAGAAATTATCCAAAATTACAAAGAAAGATTTAAACAGCTGAAGAGATTTTGAAAAAGGATCACATCTGTAGCTAAGAAAAGAAGCACTGGTAAATCTGTGCCTGAATACCAAATTTAGAATTTGGATGGGCTAACTAGATCAAATGCCAACAGAGCAGGAGTTAAGGAACAGTAATCATTGTAACATAAACATTAGGTAGGCTACAGAAAAGGGTAATGTACAGTTCAGAGGAAGAATAATCAACTGGGGGAAAGCCAACTATAATGGGGTATAACTGAATCTGAATCAAATAAATTGGAATCAAAGATTGGCTGGAAAAACTGTAACTGAACAATTGTGGCTACTTATAAAGAAGAGATAATTCAGGCACAGTTATGTTCCCATGAAGGGGTAAGGTAGGATAAACAAATCCAGGGCTGCCTGGCTAGCAAAAGAGATAGAGATTAATATAAAGAAAAAAATGTGTGCTTATGACAGCCATCAGTTGGATAATGTAAGTGAGTTTAGCTGAATATAGAAGGCTAAGAGGGGAAGTGACAAAAATAAGTAAGGGAAACAAAAAAAGCGTGTGAAAAGAGATTGGGAGTTAACATAAAAGCAACTACAAAAGTTTTATATTGCTGTATAATTAAGGTACTCCATCCTGGGCTGGTGCACGAGTATTGGGCACTCTAGACAAATCTTTAGCCTTGCATCAACTCCAACCCCCATAAGTAATTTTATGAAATGAATATTACACATTAATAAAAAAATCTGCATTTATAATATGATAAATATTAGATAAGAGATTATGGTGATACTCATTTTACATTGTCATTGTTTTACACTTTTCACGGGATGTGCATTTCCTCTAATACATATTAGTGTAGTATTCCCTATACGATCTATTAGTCCATGTACTTGCTGCAACAGTTAGTAGAAGATTTTATGTACAACTTACACAATCAATAATCGTTACAATAGTGTGGGCTAGATTATGTTTTTTGATATGATTTGCAGTTTTGGAATAACAAGTTGATGTACAAATTTGCAAAACTGACATATACAGAGTGAGGAATATAGCACTATATTTGGGAAAGACTGCAATGTAAATACATGAAAATCTATATGTTGGTATGTAATCAGTAGATTTTGAACTTTTACTCCCACTGCTAAAGCCCCGGTTTTACTCGTGTAATTTCATGAGTATTTAATTTCAGATTTTTGCCCCCTTGCCTCAAAATTTTGCCACACTAGGTGATCATTCAGTTAGCATAGTGGTTGTACCAGCCTTGTTCAGTTCCAAAGAAATCAGCTATAGGAGAGTTAAGTTGAATCTGTCAGCCATAATTTGTGTTCTTGTTCACCTTGAAACACTGAGGCAAATCCAGGTCTCAGAGTATTACCAACTGTGGTTGGAATCACAAATTGAGCTGATTCACTTGCACAGATGCATTTCTCTGTGGACATCATTAGATAGCATTCAAGAGCTGGGAACTTGGCTGATTTTCTGTTGGTTGGTAACAGCTAACTGAGCAAAGACTGAACAGTACCCCAAGCCCTGTCCCAAACCCCTAGTTTACATGTCTCAGTACAGCACTGGGCATTTCAATAATCCTTTCAGACTGTGAAAGAACTTTGACATAGAGTTTTAGCAACTGCAGTTTTCTGTAACTTCTGTGTTCATTTGTATTTGAAATGTAAGATTTTCCCTCCTTTTGTTTTGCTCATATAAGTTTCTAAAAAAAAATTAAGGAGTGACATCTAGTTGTACGGGTCCTAATTGATAGATTTTCAGGAGGGAGGGGTTGTAAAATTCTCCGAATAGCCTTCTCACCAGATACCCACTCACCCCTGACCTGTCAAAAATGTTACAGCCCCAGTTGAGGCCCTTAAAGAGCCAAGTATTGGTCAATTAAGGACCACCCAACCCATCTGAACTGTTGAGGCCAGCAGTGAAAACTCAGCGACTGGAGTGAGGTTGCGGGTGGGGTTAGCATGTGTAATGCACTGGCATGTGAACCTGCTCAGGCCTCAGGTGAGAAAGTGGGAAGGAGGGTAACCTCCATCACTGACTATCTTTCTTGACCTGAGGCTCCTTTCTAAAGTCTACTATCCCGGCCTTTCCAGACCAACCTCAACCTACTTTGCTGCGATATCCCACACCTCCATCAGTCTTTGTAACATGTAACCCATCCACTTCGCAACGCCATCCGTCCTCCTTTTTGTCTTTGCTGTGCACTCCTGAGACCAGCATTTATACTGGGTTCTTGGAATTTAGGCTTCCTGTAGTCTCAGCAGGGACCATGGCTCTTGGTGGTTCCTTTGAGGCTACAGAGCTGCAAATCATTCAGATTGGCTGGTAGATTTGGTGGGACCTCTCCAAAGTGAGGGGTAACACCACCTGAAAGCACAACGTCAAATTTCACATGTACACTGACGACCCCCACTCCACCTCACCACTATGTCTGTCGATTCCTCAACTGTTGTTAAGTTATCAGCCTGCTTGTCCGTAATCTAGTAGAGCTATTTTGCTCATTAAATGACATGTTGATTGTCTTCTAAATGCCATTCCCTAGTGACTTACTCCTTCCCTGTCACTCACAACTCTTTGAGACCAAAATAGTCTGTTTATAACCTTGGTGTTGTATTTCTCACAAAGTGACTTTCTGACCATATATCCACACCATCGTTAAGGTTGTCTAATGTCACCTCCATCATGTCACCTGACTTCACCCTCATTCTAGCTCAAGAAATTTCTGCTGAAACCCTCCTCTATGTTTTTTACATCTAGAGTTGATTATTCCAACATATCCCTAACTGGACTCCCACATTTTGTGCTTCAAAAACCTGTGGTCTTTGAAAATTCTGCTTTGTGTCCTTATGTATACCCAGGTTCTGTTTACCTATTACCCATTGACTTATTTGGCTCCTGGTCAAGCAATGTTTCAATTTTAAAATACTTGTCCTAGTTTCTAAATACCTCTCTGCCTTGCCTCTCCTTATCTCTGCAAACCCAAGTGGTGCCACAACCTTCTGAGCACTTTGGCGTCCATGCTAAAATTCCTTTCCTAAATTTCACCACCTCTTGGCCTTCTTCTTTCAAGACTCTCTCTAAAATTTAACTTCTTTAATAAGAAAATCTCATGGCCATTTTTTATGTGGCTCAGTATCTAATTAGCCTTTCTAATGCTCCTGTAAAATACCTTGTGATGTTTTGTTTTTTTTTTTCTTTATTCATTCATGGGATGAGGGTGTCGCTGGCTAGGCAGCATTTATTGCCCATCCCTAATTGCCCAAAGGGCAGTTAAGAGTCAACCACATTGCTGTGGGTCTGGAGTCACATGTAGGCCAGATCAGGTAAGGAGGGCAATTTCCTTCCCTAAAGGACATTAGTGAACCAGATGGGTTTTTCGGACAATCAACAATAGATTCATGGTCATCATTAAATTGTTAATTTCAGATATTTATTGAATTCAAATTCCACCATCTGCCATGGCAGCATTTGTTATATTAAAATGCTATATAGGTATGTTATTGCTATTGTTTAACCCTGATTAGCACAACCTCCACTGTGCTCATCTGTAATAGCGAAGGATTGATTAAAGTTCTGCTGAATTCTTTATTATAAGGAGACGACATTTTTAAAACACAAACATTTGCTCCCTTGACTCTCTTCTCATTATCCTACCTTCATTTTGGCAGATTCTCTGAGTTTCTGTTTAATAAGTGAGAATGTTCCCTTGATTCCAAATTTGTCTGTTATCGAGAGGGCTGCCAAGAATAATTTGGGAGTCTCTGGTCTTGGAGGGATGATATGCTGTATTCCTTTTGGTTGTGGCTTTACATCTTTTCCATCACTTTTAGACAGCAGTTTCCTGCAAATATATTAGAAATAGCAAATACCTGATTTAATCAGTGGTATCCACAAACAGTAGTCAAATTAAAAATAGTCAGTTTAGCAGTTATTCATAATATGGATCAAGGTCTGGACACTATTCACTCATTTATTTAATCCTTTCATGGGATGTGAGATTTGCTGGCTGGGTCAGCTTTGTTATCCATCCCTAATGAGAAGCTGGTGGTGAGCTATCCTCATGAACCATTACAGTCTATCAGGTGTAGGTACACCCACAATGCTGTTAGGAAGGAGTTTCAGGATTTTGATCGAGCGACAGTGAAGGAACAGCGATACAGTGAAAAGTCAGAATTGTGTATGACTCGGAGCAGAACTTGTAAATGGTGGCATTTCCTTGTGTTTGTTGCCTTTAGCCTTCTACATGGTAGAGGTCATAAGATTGCAGGATTCTATCAAAAGAGGCTAACTGAGTCGCTGTATTGCATCGTGTGTGTGGTACATACTGCTGCCATAGTTCAACAGTGATAGAGGGAAAAAATGTTTCAAGTTGTTAATGGGGTGCCAGTCAAGCTTTGACAGGATAATGCTAAGCTGCTTGAGTGTTTTTGAAGCTGCATTTATCCAGGCAACTAAAATTTTTCCAACACATTCTTGCCTTGTGCCTTGTAGATGGTGGACAGGGTTTTGGGAGTCAGGAAGTGAATTACTTTCTACGGATTTCACAAGCTCTGACCTGCTCTTATAGCTACAGTGTTTATATGGCTGGTCCAGTTCAATTCCTGGTCAATGGTAACCTCCAGGATGCTGATGGTGAAGGATTCAGCAATAGTATTGCCACTGACTATCTTTTCATATTTCTGGCTCACCTTCTCTCGTACTCTAGTTATTCCCTCATAATTTTTTGGATCATTCTTTGCTAGTTTTTATATTCCATTCAATTTCTGACTTTACCCAATTATATACTTTTATTTTCATTTAATATCACCTTTAAATATTGCAAGTTAACCACAGATGGTCAGATCTATTCCTTGAAATTTTCCTGACTTGTTGGATTGTATTCTGAACTATCCTCTTAAATGTCTGCCATTGCATCTCTATTGACCTTATCTTTAACTTAATTCACTTTTGCCAGTTCAGATTTTATATCTTTCTTAAATTAGAAAGAAGTCTTAGATCCATTCCCCTCTCCCTCAAATTGAATATAAAATTATGATGTCATTAATTAGTTCCTTCTCATTTCACAATACCAAGTCTAAAATATTATGCTGTCTTGTTGCCTTGAGAAAATCCTGATCGAAGAATTTATTCTGAAAATATTCTATGAATGCATCCAGGCTACCTTTGCCCATTTGACTTTCCACAGTCTAGATTAAAATCTCCCATGATTATCGTCTTGCCTTTTTGCACACGTTCTCATTATTTGATCCTTTATGCTCCAACCTACCACGTGGTTATGTTCAGAGAGTACATACACCACTCCGACAAGTGACCTCTTACCTTTTATCTTTTCTCATTTCTCCTCAAAATGTTTCTACATTGTCGTTTTTTTGAACTTATGTCATCACTGTCCATTGTACCAAAACGTCCATTTACTAATGCAGCCACCCCTCCACCTTTTCCAGTTTCCTGTCATTTATAAATGTTCTGTACTTTTTTAAGACTCAGGTCCCAGTTCAAGTCATCATGCAGCCATGTGTCTATAATGCCTACCAGATCATACTTATTCATTTCGATTTGCACTCTCAGTTCATCTGTTTTTGTTTTGAATGCATTCAGATAACGAACCTCTAGTTTTATTATTTTTCTGTCTTTGTAAATTCTAGCCTTCTCTATTAGTTGCCCCTTAAGTTCATACTCTTTATTCCTTCCTGTCACGGTCTATCATTTGCAATATTAATACCTTTCCCTTTGGCATTGACTCTGATTCTTTGCATCTTCTCAAAGGAAACTGGAGTATATTTCATCTGTGTTCTTCATACTGAAAACATGCTCCACTTTTAGAGTTCCCACACTTACACAAGTTACATTAATGTTAATAGATTTTTTAAAAAAACCCACCACACCTCTATAAATCAGCTTTCATATCCATTTTTGGACCAAGCCTTTAAAGAGGTTAGGAGCTGAGTGGCCCCTGCTTAATGATCTTTTCCATCACTTTGCTGATGTTCAAATGTAGACTGATGGGCAATAATTGGTTGATATGCATTTTTCCTACTTTTTGTGGACAGGACATACTTGGGCAATTTTCCATATTGCTGGGTAGCCAGTGTTGTAGCTGTATTGGCACAACTTGGCAAGGGGTACAGCTATATTTTAGAAGCATGAGTCTTCAGGATTATCATTTGAATGTGGTCAGAGCCCATTGCCTTTGTGGAAATAATTGTAAATTCTTTAGTTGTGTGTTTTGCACTTGCGTGCTGGGCTTGACCATCATTGAGGATGAGGATATTTGCTGAAACACCTTCTTCAAACCATTGTTTAACTGTCTACCATAATTTATGACTAAATGTGGGAGGACTGAAGAGATTTGATCTGATATGTTACACAAGATGTCATGCAGCATGAAAACAGACCCTTCAGTCCAACTAGTCCAAGCCGACCTTGTTCCCAAACTAAACTAGTCCCATCTGCCTTCATTTGGCCCATATCCCTCCAAACCTTTCCTGTTTGCGTACTTATCCATTCTACTATTACCATCAATCTTGGTTCAATAAGAACATGAGAGAATGCCAGGAGCAGTAGCAGTAATAGCTAAAAATGAGGTATGGACCCAGTGAAGCTATAATGCAGAACTACATGCAAGCCAAAATGTGGAATATGATAGACAGACCTAACGGAAGCACAACCAACATTGTACAGGACTGGTGAGGCCTCTTTTGGAGTACTGTGTGCAGTTCTGGTTGCCCTATTATAGGAAGGACATTATTAAGCTGGAGAGAGTTCAGAAAAGATTTACCAGGATGTTGCCAGAAATGGAGGGTTTGATGTTGTAAATATACCTGCATCCACCACTTTCTCGGGCAGTTCATTCCACACACTGACCACTCTGTGTAACAAGTTTGCCCCTCATGTCCTTTTAAAATCTTTCTCCTCTCACCTTAAAATTTGCCCCCGTGTTTTCAACTGCCCCACCTTATGGAAACAATCTTTGCTTTTCACCTTATCTATGCCCCTCATGATTTTATAAACTTCTATAAACCTCCTATTCTCCAATGAAAAAAGTCACAGCCTATCCAGCCAATTTTTATAAATTGAACCCTCCATTCCTGGCAACACCCTGGTAAATCTTTTCTGAACCCTCTCCAGCTTAATAATGTCCTTCCTATAATAGGGCAACCAGAACTGCACACAGTACTCCAGAAGAGGCCTCACCAGTCCTGTACAATGTTGGTTGTGCCTCTATCAGGTCTGCCTATAATATTCTACTTTTTGCTTGCATGTAGTTCTACATTATAGCTTCACTGGGTCCATACCTCATTCTTTGCTATTACTGCTGCTGCTCCTGGCTTTCCCTCATGTTCTTATTGAACCAAGGTTGATGATAATAGTAGAATGATGGATATGTCCACATTGGGGTTGAATACAATTCTGCTACTGCCTAGAGTGTCTCATGGATATCATGTTTTGAGCTCATTGTTCTGAGTCTAACCCATTTACTATGGTGGTACAGCCAAATGATACGGTGGGGGGCATGCTCAGTATGAAGATGGGACTTCATCTTCACAAGGACTGTATACTCGTCACTCCTACCTGTACTGTCATGAACAGATGCATCTGCCAATGTAGATTGCTGAGGAGAAGACGTAGTAGGTTTTTTTCCTTTTTTCTCTTTCTTCCCTTACCTCCTCCCATAGGCCAATATGGCAGATCTTTCAGGACAGACCAGCTCAGACAGTAGTGGAGCTACTGAACCAATGTTGATGATGGGTAATAAAGCTCCCTACCAAAATTACTTTCTGTATCTTTGCTACCCTCAGTACTTGCATTTGCTGTTGAACATGAGGAATACCAATTCATCAGATGAGAGCAGTTGATTGGTGATAATCAGCAGGACTATTTCCAGACTATTTTGATTTGATGCCATGAGACTTCAGTGAACTGAGCTAATGTTGAGGACTCCCAGGGCAATCTTTTCCCACTGCATTCCTGTGCCACCACCTTTGGTAGTCCTATGTTGCTAGTGGGATGAGAAATACCCGAGGATGATGGTGATGTGTCTAGGCATTGGCTGTAAAACATAACATGGTAATAGGGGCAATATCTTTTCCAATTTCACAAATAGTACCACCAATTATATGTACAGTGTCTAGATCAGCTTCACTAATAGTGCCGCCTAGTATGCAGGCAATGTCTAAATTCACTTGCAGTGTCAACCAACAGCATTAGGGAAGGATTTCCTGTTGTTATCCAAGTTTATACTCCAATGAACTGAAGATTTGATCAAGACCTTCCCAACAGGACTTTGTTTACTTCTTCCAGCAACACTTGTTGGCAGCCAAGGCATTAAAGGTCGAAAAGAACAGGAGTAACCAAATTATGAACCAGAAATTAAAACTTCTGTTTGAGGGGGAAGACATTGTGTGAGGACAGATAGGCAGTGGTAAGAGAGACACTTTAGCTGCATCATCCAAGTCAAGAAGATTGAAGCTACCATTTTCACTCCATTATGGATAATAAACATGAGGGAACACTGCTAGGAAATGGATTGAATATTCAAATTATACTGACACCTGGAAATCTGCTGACAACAAGTAGCTGGAATTCCCATTGCACCACCCTTATCACGATGGAAGCATAAAGTTAATTCTAGACTATTGCAGTCAGACTGCTTCACATTACAGAGACTTTCCAGCAAACTTTCTTTACTGTACTTTATTTACAAGTACAGGTAATGGCTGGCGGCAAAGAAATGGGGTTTAAAACCTTGTACCTGAAATGACCTCCAATCGCTTAATTGTGCAAATATGACTCATCATAAAATAATTTTATCCTCCAATAAAATCAGAAATTATTAAAACCATTGCACTGACTTAGCTTTCTTTCGCAGCAGCTTCTGAGAGTCTGGATAGTGGGTTAGAATGTCATTCAAGTCTTTCTTGTCGAGAATGAAGAGGTTTGCAAATCCATGAGCTACAACATTTGCAGTCCGTCGATTCCCTCCTCCAACCGAAAGCAAACTGTTAACACAGATGAGAAGACTGAGTGAAACTGGAAAACTTGTCTGACAAATCCCTTTTGAAATAAATAATAGTGCCTGTAATTTCCACAGGAAATATACTGCCATATATCAGCAGATGAAAACTTTTAGCAGATTTTTAGCTGAGGGTGTGTGTGTGGTGGAGGCGGGTGGTGGTGTGTGAGGGGTTGCCCATTCCTAATTCTAATCTAAGGACACCCGACTGGTTTCTGGATAAAATTCAAGGTTCTTCTTGAAAACTAATGACTGGAAGTAAATATTTGCAATGGAATGAACAGAGGTTTAAGCTTAGCTATAATGAACTCTCAAAATTAATAGCATCAAATAGTGTGTCATTACTGATGCCATAACCAGAACCGTGCATCATTTCAGCTTTCTCTGTTTTCACCATTTTCCATATAATTCGAATTAAAATTCTAATGCAAACCCATTTGTTTAATGATGAGGGAAGATTTTCTTGTTGAAACCTGCCATTAGCTAGCAAAATGGATGGCTAGTTTTCAATTCAGACCAGCTACATTACCATTAACATAAGAGTTATGAGCACAAAGGTGACATGGGTACTTTTCAGAATTAAATTTCACTTGTAAATATTTCACGTTATATTTATCTCACTTTATTCTTATAACCATCATTGTTATTTATTGAGACTAGTTTAGCCAGGGAGCTAAATGTACAGGCATGCTTCATGGTTGACACTCAATGACGGTTATGAGAAAGTTAAGGGCATTTCCTTTATCGTGAAAGAACCAATGCTGTATTTTTGTGTTCACTTTTGTTGAATGTCTAAAGAAATATATAATGTTGTAATCACCATTCTATAGCATTGTGCAGAACTTGTAGACTCAGCTCGCCATCTCTACTATGCACTGTAAAGAACATTGTCTGAGAGCAATCTCAGCAGGATTAATGAAAGTTGTAGCCGAACTAGAAGTCCTTCAAGGACTTTTCTAGTCAACACTCTGAGATGGGCAACCATTTGAACAGTGCTGAAACAATGTGCTAGGCCTCTAATTTCATTAATGACTGACTGTCCCCACTATCCTTACTTCACCCAGAACACTTCACTCTGCCATGACCCTGACTCACCCATTGATTATATCTCTCCTCCACTCCTCCATGCCCTCCAAAATCCTCCTTACCCGTGGTTGACCTTTGTCATCACCTTTTAAAGCACATGTCTCAAGTTTCTCGCCACTTAATTTTTCTTGAAGGCAGAAAGTAATGAAATAAAAATTACTGCTAATAAGCACTGATGTTTGCAAATTTTGACACGAACCCACCACAGGCTGGAGTAATGCTTTGCATGCCTTAAACATGCCACTGACTTTATCTCTACATCTCAAACCACCATTGGAAAAATCAGAATTTTTCTACCTTATTCACTCACCCTACACATCCAAGTTTCCTGTTCTTGTGGACTTCAAAGGTGCCTCCTTTTGATTCTCAGCTGGACAAATCTGACAGAAACAATTAATGGAACCTCACCTGATCTCGCCAAATACAGAACCTGCTCGTAGAGTCACAAACACAGTCTTTCCATCAGGACCACCAACAACCTGGACCTCTCCAGCTTTAATGATGTACATTTCTCTCCCAATCTCTCCCTGAAATAAAAATCAATTGGCTTCTAATCAGATTAACAAGAACTCCAGATAATAATTCATGGATAAGGTGCAGTTAATTTTCATATGTGTATATATAGATCTACAAATATTAACATTGTTTTATTGCATATATATTCATATATGCATTTAATTGTCCATACCTGTATACATACATATACAATAAATATATACACCCATTACCATTTTAACCCCAATTTTGATCTGGTTAGATGTAAGAAGAGGGTAAAAATCAGGTGGGTGTAAATACTGTAGGATGAAAATTGTGCAGGGTGTAATTTTTTTGGTATGTAAACTGCACAGCATGTAAATTGTGTTGTCTAGATCAGGCGGGTGTAAATGGGGTGGGCATAAGTTGAATGGGTGCAGATGTAGTTTGGAGATGGCTGTGTAGTGGTATCAGTGAGCTATGGAAACATGTTCAAATCTTGTAACTGCTGGAATTTAAATTCCATGAATAATATCTGGAATTAAAAGGCTGGTCAGTAATGGTGACCATGAAACTATAATTGATTCTTGTTTTTTAAGGAAATGTCTAGTTCACTAAAGAAACCATCTGCTTTCCATAAAAAAAAAAACAAAAATTAAGTGGATGCACACCTGGCCGCTTCCCTGGTTCCTGCTGATGTGTAGGTTAAAAATCAATCCCTTCATTCATACACAATGTGGCTAGGTATGAGAATAAAGCTGGATTCAATTCACAACTGCACCTTTCTGTTGATTGTTAAACCTTTTAGTGGTGTAAGTGCCCAACCCTACATACAAAAGGAACAGCAAAGTACTCCTAATGATGTACAACCAAAGGTTATTTCTTGCTCACAATATTCTAAGTTAATGAAATGAAATTTAGGTTTACTCAATCCTTTAATTTTCCTTTTGAAATATGTGAAACAGGCACAGGATTAAAGGTTGAAATAAAGTTAATTAAGTTTGAAGTTTTGGCAAAGATCTGTCACTCAGGTTGTGGATGAGGTTGTTGACTTGCTCGCTGAGCTGACTTGTTTTTGTTAACAAACATCTAGAATTGGGCCCCATATATAAACCCATGCAGATCAAAACCGGAAATGACAGTACTCACCATAACAGACCGGAGAGTATAAATTCCAAATGGAGTAGAATAATATCGCTTCATCGGAGGCTCCACTGATGATGTCACTTAGCATGGTGACAAAACGTCTGAACGAAAACAAGCCGGCTCGGCGAGCAAGTCAACAACCTCAAAGTTAATTAAGTATTAAGTTAATGTTATTTAAAGCCTATGGATTTATTTTTGAAAATCTGTGACACAATGGTGTAGCTTGTAACTCATGTGAATGGGTGATGGTGCTTCTGGCACACACAGAGCAAGACTGCAATTCCCAATGTTTTTTTGTTCAGAGGTGTATGAAGGACTGACATTTATCTGGCTTTGGACTTATGTGCCCTCTAAGCTGCACAGCCACGCCAAGGGTCTGTGCATGGCCATTGGTATGCTGATGCCATTCACAGCATTGACTCGCAGTTCCAGAAGTTGCTGCTGTACAAACTTCAGAGGTCCATTGCAGCCAGAAACAAAATTAGTGGAAACACTACTTTGGACACAATAGGTACAAAGAACTCGAAGAATAGGTAATTATCACCAGTGTTCTGGCCACTATTTGTACATTAACTATTATCACTTAGAGGAAAATGTTATCCAATTGTTAGGAAGTTAAGAGGTTGATACATTCAACCAAACGTAATCATGCTTGTGGAACAAGAATGGAACACTAAAATAAAAATAACTTAAATAGATAATATTATGCTCTGATTAAAGTATTTCAAATTGCAAGAATTCTGTAGTGCTAATCAAAAGAGAAAGATTAACCATCCTCATTGAAATTATACCTTTTGTCCTACCCATGAGCAGCAGCCTGTTGGATCCAGAACATGAGCAGGGCCCTGGGTGGAGATATCTGTACAGAATATGTACAGGACCCTGTCTGATGATACCTCTACAAATTGTCTGCAGGGACTTACCTGATGATACCTGTAAAGAGTGTGTGCATGTCCTACCTGAGGATCTGTGTAAAGAGTGTTTGCAGGACCGTATCAGGCAATACCTGGACAGACTATGTGCAGGACACTATTTATTGATATCGATAAAGAGCGTATGGAAGATCCTACCTAACGATACCTGCAAATGTGTGTGCATGATCCCACCTAGCAATATCTGTACAAAATGTGTGCAAGACACTACCTGACAATACCTTAATCCTGATGATGTCAGAACAGATTATGTGCAGGATACTACCTGACAATATTGTACAGATTGCCTACAGAGCCCTACCTGATGATACCCGCACAGTGTACGTGCAGCACCCCATTTGTTCATGTGGCAGATTTATTTTTAGCCAGTCAGGTGGAAATCTGCATCCTTCAATGTCCTCTTGAGTATGCCTCTCAAGTCCATTCCTAGCTAGACTCCACGTTGAAAGTTCTCCCACCTGGCATTAAACTTTAGATTCAGTCTAAATTAATATTTGCCTTTCACTGACACACTCATATCTGTCTAATGCATTCGAATAAGAACTATCTGAAAGAAACAAAGCTGCTGCTCTTTCAAAGAAATGTAAACTTGCCCAGTTCATACTGTTTTTTTGGATTTACTGCTTATCTTAATGTTCTCACAGATTAGGTTTTGTATTTCTCCCCTTCTAATAAATGAAAGTAACCATCTTGGTTTGGAGGAACAAAGCATTTAAAGGAGAAACAAATTGGTAAAGATCAATTTCTGAGCTCTTTTAAAGTCAAGATCAGTTTAGAAGAAAACTGCAGGACGTTAAGATGAGGAAATGAAGAGCTAGGCAAATAAATAGATACTGTTCTGGTAGAGTGTCCATTAGTGTTAACCAGAGGCATCAATACATAATGTGGACTAACAGTCTGGTGCTGTACGAATGGTACATTCCATTGACGTTGGAGTTCCATTGAAGTTTGTGTTTCAGATGAAATGTTAAATTGAAATGGATGTGGAAGAGTCTGTGGCAGTTTTTGAAGAAAAGCAGGAAATTTCCTCTAATGTTCTGACCAATACTTGTCCCTCAATTGACATATATAAAAACTAGACTATCAATTCATTACTTCTTTGCTGTTTGTGGGATCTTACAATGCACAACAATAGCTGCTACATTTCCCACTAATTGACTGCAAGGTGCTTTGGGACATCAAGAGGACGTGAAAGATACTACATAAATGCAAAGCTTTCTTTTAACAGAAACATTCAGAGGTTTTACAGCTAATTACCTTCTTGCATACGTAGTCTCCAGGCAGGTACACCACTGACTTCAGTCGTTTCAGCATGTCGTAAATCATCTGTCTGTCACACCCCTGTGGAATGAAGAAGAAGTGGAATGAGGATTGAACTTTCAGCTTCTGTACTGCCTGCTTTTCTTTATCTGCTATTTTATTAGATAGAAGGAGGGTTAACTCAGGGATGTGGATAAGTGGATGTGATTTCTGTGAGACATTATGAGATACAAAGGTTCATCAATCGTCATGTGTTCTTCCAAAGGCAGATCCTTATCCTTACTATTTGTTGATGCTTCAACCTGAGCTGTTTTCTTAGCAGTTTTCGTCAGTGGTGATTTGTCTTCCACGCTCACGGCAGAAAAAGAGACAGGTGCCAAATCTATTTAAGCTACAACACAAATCAAACCTGCACCACAGACTAGCTGTCTAGCCAACCGAGTTAATCAGCAAACAAGCCAAGGTCATGAGAGATTTTATGGAGACACTGAAATTTAGGAGGGTTTTCATAGAGAAAATATTGAAAATTGATCCCTCTAACAGATGGATTGCAAAAGATACAGGTTTATTTATTTTTATTCATTCATAGAATTGGAGGCCCAGCATTCATTGCCAATTCCTAATTGCCCTTGAGAAAATGCTAATGACCCAATAGTGAACAGTGGCAGTACTTGGGAGTGAGAATACACATGGTCCTATTGAAAAGGAATTCCAGGATTTTGACTCAGTGGTAGTGTTCCCATACATGTGTTGTCCTTCTATATTTAGGTGGTAGCGGTCGTAGATTGGAAGGTGCTGTCAAAGGTGCGCTGGTGAGTTGCTGCAGTGCATCTTGTAGACTATATACATTGCTGCTGCTCTGCATCTATGGTAAAAGGAGTGAATGTTTAAAGTAGTAGAGAGCATGCCAATCAAGTAGGCTGTTTTGACCAGGATAGTGCCTAACATCTTGAGTGTTGTTGGATCTGCAGTAATCCAGGAAAATGGAGATTTTTCCATCATGCACCTGATTTTTGCCTTGTAGATGAAGGACAACTCCCAGGGAATCTGATACAGATAAAAACAAATCTCTTTTAGTCACTGCACACCAGATTCACATTGATAAACATTTCAGTTTATAACGACTCTCAGTTGATGGGATGGTTCTGTGGCTGCCATGTGAATTATGTTGTCTTGTACTTGGGGGAAATCCAGAAAAAAGAGGCAAATCTTGAGTATCCACATATTCTGGCTATTATCGTCACAGGGGAAATTTACACGATTGGAAGTTCAGGGAAACAATCCATCATTGATGTATGCATTTATGTAGCTGCCTGAGAGTTTCTGGATAGATTTCCAGTAATAGCTTTGTAGGATCGGAGAGAAGCTGCAAGTGTTTACCATCAGCCTCCATGACAATGTCATCCAGCAGTGACACTAGTTTTCAAATTGGTTTAAGAAGCTAAATGTCTGAAAACCCTGCATGCCCCTGTAACCTCAGCCCTTCTTCTGTACTCCTCCCTCTGCACTCCTCCTTCACGTGCACATGCTGATCATGTCACTAGATTTCTTCATTGTCATGGATGGTGATGGTCTTCCTTTCATCATGTGCTGTCAAACACATCCAAGACGTCTCCCATTCTGAGCTTGTCAATTTGAAATCCTCCGAGCTAGAAAAAGTCTACATCCACTCAAGCACTCACCGCCAAATATTAGCCTTAAGGAATTGTGACAGTAATTGCCTTTAAGTGAGGTTTTAATTCAGCTGTGATAATGATAATATCCACCTGAAAAGCTGCTTAAGTTCACCTCTGTTTCACAGGTCAGTTTTCCAAACACTGTGAAACCTGTGCTACTCTAGTAAAATTTGTGATCAAGTTAAAACCAATCTAAAAAGAGCTCGAGACAACAAGGTGCAGGGCTGGATCAACACAGCAGGCCAAGCAGCATCATAGGAGCAGAGAGGCTGACGTTTTGGGCCTAGACCCTTCATCAGAAAAGCTCCAATAAATTCATGGTTGAAACCAATTGTTAAGGTTCTGATCTCAGCATGTATGTTTTGTTACAACAAGGCCCTGGGTGACGTTAGACCAAACCATTACAGTTCTAGATGGATGCCCCAAAATGTTAAGCCTCTGGATGGGGAAGGATGACTGTCTCCCCTCTTTATTTACTAACCCCATCAGATGATTGCAACAAGATTTAGAAAGGATAACTTCTCTTGTGGATACCCTGCTCTTAGATGCAAATCAAGTTATGTTTTAAAAGGAGTCAATTATATCAGGCTTTTTTGAATTAACAAAGAGTGAGTTTGTTAATTATGAATTATAAAAAGAATCATTAACATAGAAACATAGAAACCAGGAGCTGGAGTAGGCCATTTGGCTCTTCGATCATTCCATATGATCAAGGCTGATCTCCATCTCAATGTCACATTTCTGCTTTCTCCCCATATCCCTTTTCACCTTTAACATGTAAAAATGTACCTATCTCTTTCTTGAACATATTCAGTGACTTGGCCTCCACAGGCTTTTTTGTCAGAGAATTCCACAGGTTCACTACCTCTGAGTGAAGAATGCTTTCCTTAACTCAGTGATAGACTAATACAACATGGTAACAGATCCCCTGTCCAACCAGTCCATGGCCACCATAATCCCAAACTAAGCTATTCCTAAACAGCCTACCCTGTATCCTGAGGCAGTGAACCCCTAGTTCTAGACTCCCCAACCAGTGGAAACATCTTCAGTGCATTTAGTCTGTCCACCCCTATTAGAATCAGATCCTCTCTCACCCTTCTAAACTTAAGTGAATACGAGCAAGTTGAAACAGACTTTCCTCATAGGACAGCCCTGTAATCCCCAGTATCAACCAAGTGAATCTCCAGTAGACTTCCTCTACAACAAGTATATCCTTCCTTAGGAGGGGGGACCAAAATAGTATGCAATACTCCAGATTTGGTCTGACCATGTCCTCGATAACTACAATACGTATTTCCCTACTTCTGAACTTAAATACTTTTGTATTGAAGGCCAATAGATCATTTACCTTCCTAACTGCCTGCAGTACCTGCTTTCATTGATGAGGGTACAAGGATATCCAGAATACATTTCTCATATATCACCATTTAAAGAAAATTACACCTTTCTGTTTTTCACACTAAAATGTTTAACTTCATATTTAGCCACATTGTATTGCATTTGCCAGGCATTTGCCAACTCACCCAACTTATATAAATCACATTGAAGCCCCTTTTCATCCTTTTTACAATACACAATCTTGGGCAGTTTTGTGTTATCAGCAAACTTGGAAATGTTGCAATTGGTTCCTTCCTCCAGGTCATTTATATATATTGTGAATACTTGAGGCCAAGCACTAATTCTTGCAGTTACCAATCGTTACTGCCTGTCACACAGTAAAGACCTATTGTTTTCGACTCTGTTTCCTTCTGTCAACCAATTCTCAATCCATGTCGATATGTTACCCCAAATTCCACGATGTTTAATTTGCCCACTTACCTCTTATATGGAACACTATCAAAAGCCTCTGAAAATCCAAATGTACCATATCCACTGATTTGGCCTTATTTATTCAACTAGGTACATCCTCAAAAATACTTCAGCAGATTTGTTAAGCATAATTTGCTTTTCATAAACCCATGCTGGCTTTGTCCAATCCTTTAATGCTTTCCAAATATTCTGCTATCACATCTTTTATAATAGCTTTCCCCACTACTGATGTTAAGATAACTTGTCTGTAATTCTCTGCTTTTTCTTTCCTCTCTTTTTAAGAAGTTGGGTTACATTTGGCACCCTCCAATCTGTAGGAACTGCTCTAGGGGCTATAGAATTTTGGACGTTGACCACCGATGCATCCAATATTTCCAGGGCCACTTACTTTAGTACACTGAGATGTAGTTTATCAGGCCATGGTGATTTGTCAGCCTTTAATTCCATTAATGTCCTTAGCACTATTTGTTTACCAATACAGATTTCCTTCAATTCCTCCTTCTGACTTGAGGCTTTCACTTTGTTTCCTCACATTTCTGGGAGGTTATTTGTGCCCTCTTTTGTGAAGAAAGAGCCAAGGCATGTGTCCAATTCTTCTGCCATTCCTTTGTTATTATTAGAATTTCCTCAGCTCCTGACTGTAAGGGAACTTCATTTGTCTTTACTAATCTTTTTTTCTCTTCACAAATATACAGAAGCTTTTACTGCCAGTTTTATGCTCCTTATCATTTTCTCTCATACTTTATTTCCCCCACCCCCCTCTCATGATGGAACATAGACACAGAGATTAGAACTAAGGTGACTCCAAGAAGTTAAAAGTAAAATAAAGGTTATACTGATCAGTCTCCAAATTGTTGAAGAGAATTGAATTTGTGGCTATTTTAGTGAACATTACTGTTCACACTGATGTTGGAAGTTGAACAAGCAATTTTAAATTTTCTCAGTTATGCAGTTTGATAGAAATGTATTTATTTGGATTCCTTTCTGAACTGGTTTGAAGCACTGGTTTGAGAGAGAATCATCCTGCAACGCTAGTGGACAGTTTCTCGACTGTGACCTCACAACACACTAGCGCTTGAATGTAGGCTAGTACCCACAAGGGTGTTCACTTCCACCAATAGACTGCAGTGGAGTTGATACTTGATTTTTAATCCTTGTCATTGCATATTCTTCGAAGGGCAAGAGATAAAATGTGTCCCAGTTTGGGACGTAATCTGCAGGGAATGGCTTGCTGTTGAGTCGGGATCATCAGTTTAATCACAAGGGATCACGGTCCAGTATGTTTGAAGTTTCCTTAACACCTTTAGGTGTTGCATCCCATTGATCCTGCGCAGAAGATTTTTTAAAAAGTTATTGCAGTCATTGTTTCTAGACAGCCACTTAATTGACATCTGCAGTCATTTCTGGCTATATTAGACCTGTTTTAAAGAAAACACATTTTGGAATTACAAGTTAAAAATGTTCACAATACTTCAGGCTTCTGACCCTGTCATCATAACAATATTTCCTAGGTAAATAAATGTGACTCTGTGGGCATGTTGGAGCCAAATTGCATTCCCATCCTAGAATCACAAATTTCACCTCTCCCAACTGCTAACACCAAATGTTTTTGGGTGTTCAAATTGTCTTTCATTGTATACATTATCACTGTTGTACAAAATTAAACAGCTTGGAAAATCTGGAATAGAGACTAGGGAATATTTGCTGCTGAGGCAACCTTAGGTAGAAAATAGTCAAGTTGCTTCAGTACATCTGAAGTGCAAAGCTCCATGCAGCACAATGCAGTGGCTGTGGATTCAACAGACATCACTCCTTTCTTTTCACAACGAGGGAATGGAACATTGGGATATTTGCTTATATTTCAACATTACCCTGGAGGTTTTATCCACTCATTTAAGCATATTCTAGCTCATAATCATTGACTTTATGAATACATTTCTCCAAATGTTAGTCTCCATACCTGAAACAGTGCCACTTTACTGACAATGCTGTAGTTAACATCAATAGCAATGTCCAATCTCATCTTGTCAGGAAGCTGCACCAACAGCTCTGTCTCATCTGGAAACAAAATGAGAAGGAGGGCTGGAATTAGAATGCAGCCAGCTAGAAAAGATCTAAATTATCCTGGCAGCACTAATCCCAAAAATACTCAAGGCTGAACTTCCAGTATTTCCAAGTTCATATCCCATTTTAAGGCAAAGTGGCCCGGCTTTTGATGGTTTCTTTCCAGACATTTCTGAGACAGGTGGTAGCAACAGGTTTAACACCATATGGCTGTCCCATGAAGCCATTTATTTCCTAGAAGCATAAATTGAAATATTTTTTGAGTGCAAGGTTGTGATTTGCAGCTAACGTTCTATGCTTGTTATTTTGGAGGCAGGTAGTAGACAAATTTGGTGCTGTCTCCTAATTTACTTAATTATAGTGTTGTTCCAAGCAGGGTTCACATTGCTGGCTGCTTGAGTGCTCAACAGTGACCTGAAGAGCCTGTGCTGATAGCATTTGGGGCAGCCAGTCTGCTTTTCTTAAATGTAGTATGTTCCTCCTAAAGGGAGGCTTTACTGAATAACAAAGGCTGCTATTGAATGTTATTACGGCAATTCTGAAGAATGAAAATCAGACACCAAGGTAAAGAGAGGGTTCTCTGATTCGCAGGTGCAGTGCAGTAGAGTTTTAGTCATGGAGGTGGACTGGAGGAGACATTCCATAGTTATGGGTGTTGGGGCAGGGAAGTAAAGATCAAGAAGGAAGTGGGTAGTGGGCACTGAAGCCATTTGCAGAATTTGTCACTGAGGACCAATCAAAGATGCCACGAGGTGCCTGACAACCTCACGAATGGTCAAGGTGAGCATCTTCACATGACACCTCCAACCTGCTGATCCACCAACCTCTCATACTACTCCATGAATCACATTCCATCACTCACCTGACAGCACAATCTGGCACTTGATGTATTCCAATGCTGCCAGCTTCACACTTAGCTCCTGCTGCTTGCACACACTTCCATGCACATTGTGTTACATCGTGTTTGGGTAATCACTGACATTCTGCTCTCTCTCTTTCAGAACAAGTAAAATATAACAAAAGGGAGATGAGCAGAACTGGTGGGGACATGGACACCTACATCTTCTGAACGTTATAAATGAGATGGTTCTCTGCAACACAGGTCCAGTTGCAATAGAATCCATGGCACCTATTATTTCTAAGAATATTGAGGATGATATGACACATGCCCGTTCTCAATCCCCGACCCACCATCATCCTGCTATCTGGAATGTAGAGCAGATGATGTGACCGTAGATTTCTTGCTTTCCTCCCACCTTCCTTCCCTTATTCCAATCTTCCCCTTTCTGAATTCTTAGTTTCAATATCCAAAGAACTATGACCTGTTTAGCCATAACACACTCAAGAGGAAGAGACAGAGCAATATCACAGCACTTGTGAAGAGGCCCTGATACTTGATCTGATACTTGTGTCCACCAGTTCAGATGCCTGTATCTTAGAGGCAAAATTGGATTTGGAATCAGCATGAGCAGAGTTACAGAAGGCTATAGCAGGGCCAGGAGGAAAGAATAATTTGTACGTGCCAGCTCATTGGAGGGCAAGGATACAAATGAGGTGTCTCTAATGGGGCCCTCAATTGGATAACAGAACAGGAGAATGCTAGTGAAGATACATATTGAGGTGCTGATCTGTCCGCTACTTATCTGATGGGTGCTCCAACCTGCAGGAGTCGGTGTTAATCCACATGCTGGAACTCAGGCTCAGCCTATCAGTGTTTTTGGTATTAAAGTAACAGTTGCAGTAGAGATAGGTAATGCCCTGAATTTTATTGGCCATTTTGGGCAGCTTCTAGGGCATCTAGTCTAAATTCTTGGGGTATTAGCAAAGGTGAAGAAAGTGAATCACAGGTGGCCTACGTTGCCAGTATTCAACCTTCTTCAAAACTTCAAAAGTGTCTTTCAAAACTCAGGGAATCCCAAAGCATTTTATCATGAACAAGGAACTTTTTTTTAATGTGGGGCCTGTTGTAGGAAATACAATTTATGCATAGCAATCTCGCAAAAATATGATCAAATCATCTATTTGTTTAAAATAATGTTGTTTGAGGGATAAATTTTAGTTAGGATGCTGTAGCCCTTGTGGGCTGTTGTGGAATATTGTCCCTATTCTGAGAGAGGCCAAGATGCCCAAGTTCAAGTCCCACCTGCTCCACAGGTGTGTAATAAAATCTCTGAATAATTTGGTTAGAAGAGATCTATCATGGCCCTTCTGTTCAAATTTTGTCACTGGATTTTGTGTTTATCTCAGTTGGTGAATTCAACCTACCTTAAACATCTTACCTGAAAGCTAACACCTCCAAAAATGTAGAACTACTTCTGCATTACACTTAATTGACAGGCTGATTTACGTGCTCACATTTCTAGAATGGGGTTTGATTCCACAATCTTATAACTTAGGGATGAAAGGCTTAGCTAAAGCTGGTACCTATTGGGATTGTACCCATGCAACCATAACTTCATCAATCTCAGCTGCTTGCACTCACCAGTATTAAGAGCCCCAATGTGATGCCACATCCTGCTTGCAGACCCTTAAAACTGGCAGAACCCACAAGTTCTAACTTTGGAGGCAGCCAGACTGAGAGTCAGCAGCTACCATACCATCTGCATGTCCTGACTGTGGCCTAGATGCCAGAACTCTCAGCTTTGGGAACTCAATAAAAATAAACACAAAATATTACAAATGGTGAAGACCTGAAATAAAAACAGAGTGCTGGAAAATCTCAGCAGCTCAGATACCGTTTGTGGAGATAGAAAAAGAGTTAACATTGAGTCTACTATGTTTTGAAAAAGAATCATATCAGACTCAAAATGTGAATTCTCTGTTTCTCCACATTTGCTGCCAGACCTGTGGAGTTTCTCCAGCATTTTCTGTTTTTATTTTAGGAAAACCACAACCTTGATTGCACCTCGAACTCATCATTTTCTTCTAAAGGCTGAACATACGTTCTGCTTCTGCAAGGCATTAAGGAAACTCCTGGAAATGGTGCTGACCTACTGTAACTTGCTTCCGCTAAAATGTGTCAGTATGAGTTCTGAGGAAGGGTCACTGGACCTGAAACGTTAACTCGGCTTTTTCTCCATAGGTGTTGCCAGATCTGCCGAGTTTTTCCAGCAATTTCTGTTTTTGTTTCTGATTTCCAGCATCTGCAGTTCTTTTGGTTTTCTGCTAGGGTTATGAAGGTGACTTCCAGAATTCCTGCATAATGTCCTGCTCCATGATGGGCAATGACATCTTAGCTCCATACAACTCTCCATTCCTGGAGTAATTGCTATTCCAAAGAATAATTTTCTTGATAAATTACACTCAGTATAACCCTGCCCTGGATCTTGATGGTTATGAGACACAGAAAAACTAAAACCCTGTCCCCAGGTGATACCACATTTAATGGTCAATCAGATTGGCTGATGCTGAGGTAGAACATCCACCTTAAGCAAAAAGTGGCAGACATACCTAGCATTCCTTGTGATTCCCAAGTGAATTCATACCACTTCCGTACTCTGTTCTGGACGAATCGAGGAATTCTGTAAGAGTTCATATACTTCACAGTGTTATCCATGCAGTTTCGATAATATGTCTGTCCAGCAGTGGCTGCACCCACCACATCTCTCATCTGTAGAAAAACAACATCAGTGGATCTCAATCAATACAAGTCAAAGTACTTCAAATTATCAATATCAGTCAATACAACTCGAATACCCAATTATGGATGTATATCAGTAGTGCAAAGTTCAAATAGGAAGAATTGATCAAGAGTAGTTCTTGGCTGTTGGAAGTAGCTGAGTAAATTTCAAAGAGTCCATGTCTTGATTTTTCCCATTTGTAGGAACAAACAATTGTGGTGAGATGATCAGTTGTTTCTTCTGCTGCCCTGAATATTGAGACAATTCGAATGGTCCCAGAAATGAACACTGTGCATCTAGGTTCTCAATGTTGGACAGAACTTGTCACATCATTCTGTGAGTTCCTCTGCTATGGCTCACTGACTTCTATGGAATTATCTTGTTAAGGTTTTTTTTAATTGCTCTGGGTTCATAAACAAAGCTCATTCGTTTAAAATTCATCTGGCTATTAAACAAAACAGAGGGAGTTGGACCTTCTTGAAACCAAAGTTGACGGTAGATAAAACAAGGGGTGAGGCCAACATTGCATGGGCCAAGATACTTAGTGTTTGTTACAAACTTTTGTCTTCCCACCACTAGCTACTACCATCTGAGTTCTAAACTGGTAACTCATCACAGACCAGGGATTGAATGTTGGTTCTGTATGGTTCAGAATCACATGGAAGTACATCTACCAACTGACTCAACGGAGTGATATGCTCATGCCACATTGTGTTGCAGGGTCTGGAGGGGTTGGAAAGAAGGAAATTTACCAGCCTCTGCACCTGAAGGCAAGACCATAATAATCGGAATCTGGTGTGATCAATATTCAATATCAAATATCACTGGCCAAGTGAATGACTTTCTCTTATTAGGCCTCTCCCTATTTAGCTATTAGTTTGGGTGAGGTGTAGAAGCGGTTCACTTTGTTGAAATACCCTTACCTCACTACTTATTGAATCAGTCACACCATCTAGCTCTTTCTGACATCAGAAAGGTTTAGCACACAGGTGCCTTGCAAATTCAACTGGCTTAGGACAATGCTTATACAATACCATGTATTCTTGTGAAGGATGAGCAATATCCAGAACAATAGTGGAATATCCTAGTTGTAGATAATCAGTTGTTAAATAAAGATGTATTATTTATTGAGCATTATAGTATCAGTGAAGCAGTAAACGCATAACATTAGCCAACCATCCCTCTTTATAGAAGCTAATGAACCTGCTTTCCATGTTTCGTTTTGCATTTTCAACACTTTCAGTTCTCGTTTCTTCCATACCTGACCAATCATAATGGAGAAGATAAAGACTCCTGTGAAATAATTGAGAAGTTGAAAGAATATTTCAAATACTGTCTGTGGGTCCGGTAGCCCTCCAATTGTAATCAGAGTCTTCACAGCCCAGTAATAGCACCTCATGTAACTACAGGAGAAGAAAAACAGCAGCACATGAAACCCCAGGGTTTATAGTAAATCATTTCCTTTGAGATTACAAGAATAAACAATGATAAATTTGAGCTGTTTAAGATAATTAAAGAACTTGATGAGATATATAAACATGAACAATTTCCCCTGGTGGCTAAGTCTGCAATGGGGCCATAACCTTAAAATTTGAATTAGGCTATTCAGAGATGATGTCAGGAAGCATTTCTTCATACACAGGGCTATTAAAATCCAGAACTGTCTCCCCTTAATTACTGTTGATGCTGGATCAATAGAGTTGAGAAATCATGTTGAGGTTGTACAGGACATTGGTGAAGCCTCATCTGGAATATTGTGGCCAGTTCTGGTAGCCCAGTTTTAGGAAGGATAATGTTAAACTGGAGAGGCTTCAGAAGAGATTTTCCAGGATGTTGCTGGGTATGGAAGATTTGACTTATAAAGGAAGGCTGAATAGGCTAGAACTTTCTTCACTAGACCGTAGGAGGTTAAAAGGCGACATTAGGTAAGTTTATAAAGTAAGGAGGGGTATTGATAGAGTTAATGGTAGTGTTTTTCCAGAGGATGATAGATTTCAAGACTAGGGGGCACATTTTTAAGTTGAGAGGAGAGAGATTTAAAAAAGACATGAGGGGCAATTTTTTTACACAGAGGGTGGTTCGCATATGAAAGGAACTTCCTGTGGAAGTAGTGGATGTGGGTACATATACAACATTTTAAAAGACATTTGGATAAGTACATGATTAGAAAAGGTTTGGAGGGATATGGGCCAGGAGCAGGCAGGTGGTACTAGTTTAGTTTGGGATTATGTTCGGCATGGACTGGTTGGACCAAAGAGTCTGTTTCTGTGCTGTATGACTCTATGGTGGATTTTTAAGGAATATTTTCAGGAATATAAAACCAAGGTGAGTAAACAGAGGTAAGATACAGATCAGCCATGATCTTAAATGAATGTAGAAGAGCATTGAGGCACTGAATGCTCTAATCCTTTCTCTAATCATAACAAAACACCTAATATCCATTAGTTTCTCCCATCATTTCCTGAAGGTGCTAACATTGATTGGGATGTTGTCCTATGGTAGAGTGAGTCTTCTGATACTTCACCCAAGTGATCATTCTTCAGTTTTGACTCTAGGCAACAGCAGACTGCCTGACCATTTAAGGTAGCACAGCTAACACCTTAACCTCAACTGACATCCATGCACTCACATTTTCCAGATCAGTTTACCAAATTGTTATCAGGGGTAGGAACTGTGCCTGATTATTTTTGGTTTCTCCCTATCCTAGGGTAGCGGCCCAAATTCTACTTTGGCTGAGCTGACCTGGGATCATAAGTTAAATGTGGGATATTCAGGTTTGTACAGCTTAAAGGCAAACCATGTGCTGCATTTCCCCATTGCTCCTCAGGCCAGCTAACTAAATATTCTAAACTATTTTTGCAATTTCCACAATGGCGCTAAGTGGTGGTTATTTATTTTTCTTATCAGTTCTTTGACTATAAACGACATTGATAAGGCAGCATTTATGGCCCATCTCCATTCATGCTATGGATGTAGAAAAGTATGGTGCAGAAGACAAAGAGACAGTGCGGTATCCCTTTCCTGATATAGTACAATATCTGTCTGAGTCAAGAACTGGATCAGCTCGCTCTTGAAAAGATTGAATCAGCAACCATTGCTCTAAATGACAATACATTGCAGAGGCTCACTACTCTCTGGGAAAAGAAGAGCCTCTGAAATCTGTTGTAAAATCTTTTTTAACATTCATTTATCCTTATTGTTTAATCTCATGTCCTTTGGTCTTCCCCATCTATCAAGCTGGAATCTGTCAAGAGATACATGAGCAATTCTTTTAATTATTTCATAGATCTCTATCAGCTCATCAGAATAACATACTCGCAGTTCTCTGGGCTTCTAATTTCCACTGGGACGAAGGAGATTCCTTTAGGCATGAAGTCTCTATTCTCCCTCCAGCTGCAACATTCTTTGCTCCCTTCTCCTACCCAAGTTGAGAACCTAGAAGACCATTATCACAAAATAGCTGCAAGGCCAAAAGCACCTCAACCGTTCAGCACCTATAACATCTGCTACATACTTTCAATTTTTTTAAGGTTGGAAAAACTCTTAGTCACTGCAAGAAAATGATACCAAAACTATTTCTTAGGTAGCTGAGGAACCTTTTGCAGCATATTTGAAATGGCTATCTCAGGAGTTATACTGCTTGTGACTAATGGCCAGGACGAGGATCAGGTATTAATCAAGTGGTAAGGTGAGAAAATGGCACTGGTGTTGCAATGACTTGTTTCAGAAGGGAGTTCTGGTCTAGAAGAATTATGCTCACTAGAAAAGGCCAGCTGTTTGTAGCAATGTTTGATGTGTCAACTCTCGTTCTCCTTCTCCTTTTTAAGGCATAATTTTATGGAACAATGTCCAAAGGAAAAGCTGTATCATGCAGACAATATTAAGAAAGTAGGTTACAGTTATGGTCATTATAATAATAAGAAAAACAGAGTTGCATTTACTAAGAGCCTTGCACATCTTCAGAACATTCCAAAGCGAATTGCAGCCAATGAGATATTTTTGAACTGTAATCACTTTGGAATGTAGCAAAAACAGCAGCCAAACTTTGCGCGGCAAGTTCCCATAGTCAACACTTTTATCTTTTCAAGAGCGACCTAATCCAGTTCTTGACTTAGAGAGATACTGTCCTATATATGAATTGTGTTGATGTTTCATATGTCACATGGTCTGTGTGATCTTCTGCACTGCAATTTATTGCCTGAGGTGGTAAGACAGTAATTTTACAGAGTATCTCTGTTTTGTGCACCACCTAGGAGATGATATAACTGTAGGGTGGTGAGGAGATAACTGAGATAAAGATCAGATTTCTTCAAATTGGTTTTCTTAAACCTGATTGAGGGATTTTTAAAAAATGCCTTGGAGAGTGAATGGAGGGATGCTTTCTACATTTCTTCAAAATATTGCCATGGGATTTTTTAACTTTCATTTTAGACAGCACGAAAAGGCTTCAATTTAAATTTCATCTGCGGTCAAATGTAGTGTTCACCTTAAGTTTTCGCTCAAGCATCCGATAAATGTGGTAACCCATGATTTCTTGACTAAAGGTGAACGTGCTAGAACTAAACATAGCCTTTTTAGAAATGTATTAATGGGATTTGGATGTCACTGGCTGGGCCAGTATTTATGACCCATCCCTTATTGCCCTGGAGAAGTTGACGGTAAAGTGCCTTCTTGAACAGCTGCATCTTTTGGGATGTAAGGACATCTGGACTGCTGTTTGGGAGTACCAGAATTATAAGCCAGAGACAGTAAAGGAACAGTAATAACAGCTATCAGGAAGGTATATGACTTGGAGGGGAACATACAGATGCTGGTGTTCCCTTGCATCTTCAGCTTGTGTCTTTGAGTACTAGAGTTCACAGATTTGGAAAGTACTGTTGAAGGAACCATGGTGAGTTACTGCAGTGCATCTGTGTATGATAGTGTCACTACTGTCACTATGCATCAGCGGTGAAGGAAGTGAATGTTGAGGATTGTGGATGGGGTGTGAATCAAGATGGTTGTTTTATCCAAGATGATGTCAAGCTTCTTGAGTGTTGTTGGAGCTGCATTTATTCAGGGAAGTGGAGAATATTCCAGCAGAACTTCCGATCTGTGCCTTTTAGATGTTGGACAGGAATTGAAAATACAGGAGATGAGTATTCACTGCAGAATTCGCAGCTTCTAATCTGTTCTTGCAGCTACAGTATTTGTGTGGATAGTTCAGTTCTGTTTATGGCCACTGGTAACCCCAGAATGTTGATTCCTGATTCTTGGGATGGCAGGCCTGATGTAGGAAGAGAGACTGGATTGGTTAGGACTATATTCACTTGCGTTTGGAAGAATGAGGAGGAATTTCATAGAAACCTACAAAATTTGAACAGGACTAGACAGGGTAAAGTCAGGAAAGATGTTTCTGCTGCTAAGGGATTTCGAAACCAGGGAGCACAATTTAATCATATGGGGTAGGCCATTTAGTATTGAGATAAGACAAAATTTCTTCACCCAAAGAACGGTGACTCTGTGGAATTCTCTGCCTCAGGAAGTGTTTGAAGGCAAAACATCGAATGTTTTCAAGAAGGAGTTAGATATAGTTTTTCAGGCTAACGGGATCAAAGAAATGGAGAGAAAACAGGAACAGGGTACTGAGTTGGATGATCAGCCATGATCATATTGAATGGTGGAGCAAGCTCAAAGGGCCAAATTGCTTACCCCACTCCTATTTTCTATGTTTTTATGTTGATAGTCAGGGATTCATTCAATGGCAATGAATGAGTGTTCGTAGCCACTTATGAGTCCAAACTTGGATGTTGTCAACCTCCTATTGCATATGGACACAGACTGCTTCAGTATCTGTGCAAATGTAAATGTTGAGCATTGTGCAATCATCAATGGACAACTCCACCTCTGACCTTATGATGAAGGAATGGTCATTGATGAAGCAGCTGAAGATGGTTAGGCCTGGGACACTACTCTGTGATGGCCTCGGCTGGGGTGATTGACCTCCAACAATCTTCCTTTTTGTTTAGTAGGATTCCAATTAACACTGAATTATCCCTTTCATTCACATTAATTCCAGATTTGCTAGAGCTCCTATGGCCATACTCGGTCAAACGAGTATGCCAGGAGGACAGGGCATATCCAGGGAGGGCAATAGTCTGTCTGGGACATTGTCTGTAAGGTATGATTGTGTGAGTTTGAATAAGTCAGGCTTTTGCCTGACTAGTCTGTAAAACAGCTTTCCCAATCTAGGCATAAGTTCTGCATATTGGTGAGGAAGACTTTGCATGGTTGACAGGACCATGTTTGCTATTGTGGTTTCCAGTGTCTAGGTTGATGCCCAGTGGTCTGTTCTGTTTCATTTCGTTCTTTAGACGTTTTTCTAATTTGATACAATGGAGGGCATTTAAAAGTCAGCCACATTGCTGACTGGAGACACGTGTATCCTAAACCTGGAAAGAATAGCAGATAACCTTCCCTAAAGGACTTTAGTGAACCAGATGGGTGTTTTACAACAATTGACAATGGTTACAGGATTGCCATTAGGCTTGTTTTCAATTTCAGGTTGTATTAAATTAAACTGCCACCATCTGCCATGGTGAGATCAAACCTATGGCTAATGTAACTGATATATGTTAGTGCCTAGGTTCCCAAATAGCAGAACTTATAGGGCACTGTTTTCAACCCAACAGTGGGAACCCAACATCTGAAAAATTTACGGGTCCCGCTTTGCCTCCTCAACTGCATCATTCATGTGACAATATCATTAATTGTAAATGTCCTAATTGGGTTGAAGGTGACCTCAGTGTCCAATCAATGGTGCTGAATATTACCTGGAGGCAGGAGCTGCCTGAAGAGCGCAAGTGGCAAAGACAGATGGCAGCCACAATAGGGCCTACCGTGGCCACACAGAAGAATAGAAACAGCACCTCAAGAGGGCCAGCAGCCTTGCTGAACACCAAAATATACAAATGGCAGATAAAGATCATGATCCTGTGCAAGGCTCCCCCTGTGTTTAACTTCTGTCGACTTTGAAGCCAACCACTGATCACTAACATGCACCAGTGTGTTTGGATTTGTCAAGTTTAATTTTGAAAATTGTATTCTCACCCTCCTCAGGCCACTTAAAAAGCTTTTCAAGGAGTCTAATGGGCCTTCAGGTGGAGGCAAGTACATCCCTCATCCTCCCGCACACCCAACCCTCCCTTTGAAAACTGTAATAAGTTCCAGAGGTGGCAGAATCCATTGCTGTGTTTTGAAAATGCAATTTTCACATTGTTCCCAGACTCTTTCCCGACTCCATCAAAAATTGAGAATCCATTCATATACAGAAGGCAACAAGTCGAGAGCCTTACATCAAATAGCACTTAATTCCACACCGTTAACTGCAGGAGGAAATCAAGAAGAACTGGGTGACTTGAGGGAACGATTTTTAAACATTTCTGTGCAGACCTTTCATTTCAGACATCTCCTTGGGTGATTTCCCTCCCCTGCCCTCTGCTGCTGCTCCAGTGGAGAATTGTGCCCTTAAAATATAGGCACATACTTGTCGAACAGAAAACCTTCACAATAACTAAGTTTCAAAATGGGCAGCAAATTTGATTCAGCAAATCCTAGTACACAGAAGCATGGAAAGATCCCTACCTGTTTCCTTCCCCATCATAGACCCACTTTGTGGCTCCAATGCCCTCATAGTCAGATGCCCAGTAGTATAGACAGGCATTTATATGGAGGCTGTACAGTAGGTATACTGTGGTCCTTATCACTCTGTAAAACACAAGGCATTCTTTTGAATTCAATGCTACCTTCTTAAACATAATTGGAAAACTAGCCATTGATTTATTTATTACATGAAGATTACAATGTGTCTCAATATCAATACACACACGATGAATCAGTACTGTTACCGTCTGAGCCTCATCAACCTACTGTATGAGGGAGCTTTGACTGTATTTCTGTGACTCACTGTCCCTTCATGTGACGGAGCTGTGATGCATTTTAAGATGTCACTAGGTGAGTTGTAGCAAATTTACACAGGCCAACACTTTTTTGCTAAGATTTTAACATTTTGCTAAAATGGCTCATAGAACGAAATACTGAATCTCCCAAACTACGTCTGGCACCCACCATTTTCAGCTGTAGTGGAGTTCGGGGTGGTAGTAGTGGGAGCAGTGGGGGATGGTGGATGGATGAGGAAAGAGTGAATAGGACATACTTTGCACATCTGTGGTTCATTGAGGTAGTAGCACATTTAAAAGAGCCTTTCTCTCAGAAGCAATTTTTTGTCACTGAGGCCTCTCAAACGCATCTCATGGGATTTACAAATTTCAAAAAAAGGTCAAAACCTGTCTGAATTTATTGGAGAGATTGGGTACCTTTTTAGAATTATTAAGAATAGCCATGAAAGGTGGAAATATCTTTCAAATGGTTCAGTCATTTCAATCTACTGCTATTTACATTTTGGAAGAAAATCACACTATGTCTGGAGGTTATGAGGGCAAAGGGTGGTGTGTGGGGGCATGAGTTGGCAAGAGTTTCCACCAATCGCCATGGAGATTATGGGGGACTTCATGAGTTGGCATGAGTTTGTGCTAACTTGGCATACGGCTACCATGGGATGGGTAGAGGGACATATGTTGGCATGAAAACTATAAGGCATGTGATGAAATCCTTCAGTTATATGCATTTTGTTGTACTGAGTAAGTCAGCCATCTATGACTAGTAACATTTATGGAACAAATAACTCCAAAAGTTGCTGAGTGGCAATGTTGAATTCTCATCAGCAATAGAGACAAGGCTTATTGCCAGATTTTTTATCAGCCACTGAAGTGGAGTTCAAAAGATTACAGACAGGGTTTGAAGGTCAGTGAGTTTGGGGAGGGGGAGAGAGAGAGAGAGATGTACTTTCTATGTTAGAAGTTCTGATTTTTAGTTATACTTCAGGGAAGGCAACTGGACTGCACTGAATCTATACTGACTGTTGTTAGGGATGCAACGAGAAGTAAAGAGAAGTTGAAAAGCTCTGTACAGCTGGAATTCGGAGCTGAAATTCCAGTTCATGGTATCTGAGGCAGTTATAAGCAACAGTCTAGCTGTCAGTTGGAGTAAAAGACAGAGACAGAAGCAGACTCTGTGTTAGGCAGAGCTGCTGTTAAATGGATTACTAAAGTCAGCTGAACAACACAAGTTTAGTAAGTGAGAATTCAGGGAAGTCCTACAATACTTGAATATTTCTAGATAATAAGAGTTCAGGGAAGTCCCAAGAGGGATTGAGAGAAGCCTTATACAATTAATAGTTCAGTATTGTTGAGAGTGAGGTTTGAAAATCCACAGCAGTGTCTGCTTCATGCAACTGAGCAAGATTATGTCTCAGGGAAATACAGCAAAGTTTTAACTTGATGAAGCTAACTACCTGTGAAAAGCAGGAGTTGTTGTCTGTGAATAAGTGGACCAGAAAAGGAATGTGATCAACCAGAATAGGAGCAGTCATTGAGACAGCCTTTGGCTCAGGAGAGAGTTTTGTCAGATCAGCTAAACAGAATTGCAATCTCTTGAGAGCTTTAATGAGATACCCATTGTGTCATTAACTTCTGGGCAGTTACTGAGAGATCCATGGGATCTGTTCTGATCACACTTACAGTTTGATGTGTACTGTGTGGTGTTTGTTCATGGTCTATTACCTATATTTACCATATGCTAACTCTGGGTGTTAGAAATAAGTTGTACATGTAATGTAGATTACATTACTGTTCTAACATTATAGTCCAACAGGTTTATTTGAAAATGCAAGCTCCAAAAGCTTGTATTTTCAAATAGACCTGTTGGACTATAACCTGGTGTCGTGTGATTTTTGACCTTGCCCACTGCAGTCCAACACCGGCATCTCCACATCATGGCTAACATTATACAGTAAAGTTTATTGGTGTTTTTTCAAAACTTGGAATTTTGCAGCTTTATTCTCTTAGTAAGTCCCCTAGAAATTATCTGTTTTAAAAATGAAAGATTACCGGGTCAGTGGGATCGGAACATAAAATTGGTTATGTATTCTGAGATCATAACATGGGACATTGGGACCGGATGAAAGGCATTACGTAGAATGATAGAATTTTACAGTACAGAAGGAGGCTATTCAACCCCTTATGTCTGTACCAGCTCCCGAAAGAACTACCCAGTAGTTCCATTCTCCAGCCCTATCTCTGTAGCCCTTTGGCTTCATCACTTTCAAATATATATCTTGCTCTCTTTTGAAACCTCCTATGTAATCTGCCTCCACTACTTCCCCAGGCAGTGCAGTCCAAATCGTAACAACTCTCTGAATAAAGTTTCTCAACATCTCACACCTAGCTTTCTTGCTGGCAATCTTGAAATTGTGACCCCTGATGGAGTGGTAAAGGGTAGGGGCTAGGGGGCTCTTTCCAAACTGATTTTTGTACAACTGGAGTAATGTCATAGAGCATTGAAGTGGGCCTTTTAAACAGCCCACATGCGCACCTGGTGGCCCTAATGGCTGCCTGTGCACTGTTGCTGGGGCAAATGGACCTGTCTCCAGTTAGCACCTCTTCCACCCATCCACAACCCCTGGACTATTTCATTATTCATTTGTGGGATGTGAGCATTGCTGCTGGCCAACTTTCTATTGTTCATCCCTAGTTGCCCTTGAGAAGGTGGTGGTAAGCTGCTTTCTTGAACCACTGCAGCCCACATACCGGGGGATGGACCAAAAATGCTATTAAGGAGAAATTCCTGGATTTTGACCCAGTGATATATTTTCAAGTCAGGAAGGGAACTTGCAATTTGTGGTATTCCCATGTATCTGCTGCCATTGTCCTTCCAGACGGAAGTGGTTGTAGATTTGGAAGGTGCTATCTTGAATTGAATTGGTGAATTACCGCAGTGCAACTTGTAGATAGTATACACTGCTTCTCCTGAGCATTGGTAGTATAGGGAGTGATTGTTAGTGAATGTGGTGCCAATCAAGTGGGCTGCTTTGTCCTGGATGGTGTAAAGCTTCTTGAGTGTGTTTGAAGCTGCACTCATCCAAGCAAGTGGGGACTTTCCATCACACTCCTGACTTGTGCCTTGTAGATGGTGGACAGGGTTTGGGGAATCAGGAGGTGAGTTACTCAGTGCTGGTTTCCTAACCTCTAACCTGCTCTTGTAGCCACTGTGTTTACACGGTGAGTCCAGTTGGGCTTCCGGTCGATGGAACTCCCAGGATGTTTATAGTGGAGGATTCAGTGATGGTAACACCATTGAATGTCAAGGGGACAGTGCTTAGATTGTTTCTTATCGTAAATGGTCATTGTTTGGCAGTTGTGTAGCAAAATCATTGCTTGCCATTCATCAAGGTCTTCTTGATGCCATACTCCGTCAAATGTAGCCTTGAGGTCATGGGCTTTCACTCTCACCTCATCTCTGGAATTCAGCTCTTTTGTCCATGTTTGGACCAAGGCTGTAGTGAGGTCAGGAGCTGAGTGGCCCTGGCGGAACCCAAACTGGGCATCACTGAGCAGGTTATTTCTGAGCAGGTGCTGCTTGACAGCGCTGTTAATGACAACTTCCATCACATTATTGATGGTCGAGAGTAGATTGATGAGGCAGTATTTGGCCGGGTTGGATTTGTCCTGCTTTGTGTGTATAGAATATCTCTGGGCAAGATTCTACATTGTTAGGTAGATGCCAGTGTTGTGACTGTACTGGAAGAACTTGGCTAGTGGAGCGCAAGTTCTGGAGCACAAGTCTTCAGTACTATTGCCCGAATGTAGTAATGATCCATAGCCTTTGCACTATCCAGTGCCTCCAACCTTTTCTTAATGTCATGTGGAGTGAATCAAATTGGCTGAAGACTGGTATCTGTGATGCTGGGACCACTGAATGAGGTAGAAATGGTTCATCCACTTGGCACTTCTAGCTAAAGATTGCTGAGAATGCTTCAGCACTGATGTGTTGGTCTCTTCCACCATTAAGGATAGGAATACTTGTGTGGCGTCTCCTCCTCCAATAAATTGTTTAATTGTTCACCACCATTAATGACTGGATGTGGCAGACAACAGATCTTCAATCTGATCCGTTGGTTGTGGTCCTGCTTGGTAGCTTCACTAGGTTGACACTTCATTTTTAGGTATGTCTGGTGTTGCTGCTGGCAAGCCATCTTGCATTCTGCTTTGAACTGGGTTCATCACTTGGATTGATGGTAATGGCTGAGTGGGGGATATGCTGGCTAGGAGGTTCAGATTGTGTTGGAGTACGATTCTGCTGCTATTGATGGCTCACAGTGCCTCATGGATGCCCAGTCTTGAATTGCCACATCAGTTTGAAGTCTGTCCCATTTAGCATGGTGGTAGTACCAGACAGTACAATGGAGGTTATTCTCAATGTGAAGGTGGGACTTCTCCACAGGTGCTGTGTGGTGGTTGCTGTTATTGATACTGTCATGGACGGATACATCTGCAGCTGGCAGGTTAGTAAGGATGAGGTCAAGTATGTTTTTTGCCTTGTTGGTTCCCTCATCACTTGCCACACACCCAGTCTGGCAGCTATATCCTTTAGGACCTGACTAGCTCAAGCAGTAGCGCTGTTGATGAGCCACTCTTGGTAGTGAACGCTGAAATATCCACCGAGTATGTTTTGCGTCTGTGGGACCCTCAGTGCTTCCTCCACATGTTGTTCAACATGGAGGAGTACTGATTCATCAGCTGAGGGAGGATGGTACGAGGTAACCAGCAAGAGGCTTCCTTCACTCATGACCTGAAGGCATGAGACTTCATGGGGTCTGAAGTCAATGTTGAGGACCGCCAGGGCAACTCCCTCCTGATTCTGTACTAATGTGTTGCCACCTCTACTGATTCTGTTCTGCTGGTGAGACAGGACGTATCTAGAGATGGTGATGGTGTTGTCTGGAACATTGTCTGTCTGATATGATTCCGTGAGTATGACTATGTCAGGCTCTTTCTTGACTAGCCTGTCAGACATCTCTCCCAATTTTGGCACTAACCAAAATGTTAGTCAGGAGTACTTTGCAGGGTCAACAGGGCTGTTTCTGCTGTTGTTTTTTCCAGTGCCTAGGTTGATGCCAGGTGGTCTGGCTGCTTCCATCTCTTTGTCGAGACTTCGTAGCAATTGAGACAATTGAGTAGCTTGCTAGACCATTTCAGAGGGAAGTTAAAAGTCAACCACGCGTCTGTGGCTCTGGAGTCACATTTAGGCCAGACCGAATGAGGATGGCTCATTTCCTTCCCTGAAGGACATGAGGCAGCCATCTGGGTTTTTCCAACAATCAACAATGGTTTCATGGTCATCAGTAGATTCTTAATTCCGGATTTCTTATTTTAAGTGAAGATCCATCTATTCAGGGCAGATTCTCCCAAATCAGTTTTGTAAATTCATGAAATTTAACAACTTTGCGGAGTAGACTCAGAAGCAAGAAGACAGAAGTTTTCTGATTGCACGAACAGGATTTTGTGGGAACTTAAAGCATGTTTGACTCTATCAGTAGGTTCTTTGTCCTTTAGTCTCTCAGGGTAATTAATATAATCCTGTCTGCAACTTCCCATTTGTATAAAGGAGCAATAGTACGGCTCTTGTTTATCATTGACCTTCCAGATGAAGGAGTTTTGATTATGCCTCTGGGTAATCCTGTAACATAGTGATGGCCAGACTCTGTCCAGAGTAACACAGCAATATCCTGATATAGCACAATAGCAGATATTCTATAGGGGCTTTTGTGGTGTGGTGGTCATGTCCATAACTCTAATCCAGGAGGTATTGGTTCAAGTCCCACCTGCTCCAGGGGTGGGTAATAACATCTCTGAAAAGGTTGATTAGAAAGTATCACTAGCAGATATTCTAGATTAATGTTTCTCAAACTTTCTCTGCCATGACCCCATTTCAGTTCATGTCACTGGAGTGTAAATTTGTGGAATGTGGGTAAAGATTTGAGCGGGCGTCATTGCTTGTTTACCCCCCAATGTTCTCTTCTCCTTCCCCCCAAATCTCCTTCATCTTCTTTAGTTCTCCATCTCCTTCATTCCTCCACCTGCCCCCTCTCCTTCTCCTCTCATCTTAATCCTCCCCATTCACCCTTCTTAACCTTCATCCATCTAATCCTCTTAAACCCCTCATTTCCACCATTCCCTCCCTCTCATTAACCCCTTCTCCTTAACCCACCCTCCATATCTCCCCCTCTGCTCACACCCCCTCTATGTCCCTCCACTCCTTAACTCCAACCCACCTATCTACCCCACTTCTCTCTTTCAGTTCCCATCTCCAGCATGAGAGAAGTTGACAGGATCTGTGGTTTCTCAAAATAACCAAACACTTATCTATTCACAGATATTTGAAGCTGCAACAGTCCAGGAGAGTCCTAACCAACCAGAAAAAGTTCAGCCATTGCTACCTCTGAGCCTGCCACCCCAAAATCTCATCTCATGACCTCACTGAGATATTGTGATCAATAGAGTAGCAAATCCTGCTCAGGATGTGACAGTATCTAATGGCACTTCATTTAAAGGGGACAGCATCTGGGTTTTATTGTGTTTAAAGGATATAATATCTGGGAATCACTGTGGTATAAGGAACAGTGCTTAGCTATCACAGAAAGCATTATCAGTGACATGGAGTGGAGTATTTGGGTGTCAGTATTGTTTCACAGAATACAATCCCAAGATCTAATTACATCACTGAGACCTAGAAAAGTAATATGTCTAGAATCAATTGTACGCACCTATATATATAGGCCTTGCTCATTATAGCCTCCAGCCGGTCATTAAATTCAAGAAAGGTCATGTACTGTTACAAAAGATTAATGAGACATTAATTCATAGAACATAGAACATAGAACATAGAACATTACAGTGCAGTACAGGCCCTTCGGCCCTCGATGTTGCGCCGACCTGTGAAACCAATCTGAAGCCCATCTAACCTAAACTATTCCATTATCATCCATATGTTTATCCAATGACCATTTAAATGCCCTTAAAGTTGGCGAGTCTACTATTTTTCAGGCAGGGCATTCCACGCCCTTACTACTCTCTGAGTAAAGAACCTACCTCTGACATCTGTCCTATATCTATCACCCCTCAATTTAAAGCTATGTCCCCTCGTGCTAGCCATCACCATCCGAGGAAAAAGGCTCCCACTGTCCACCCTATCTAATCCTCTGATCATCTTGTATGTCTCTATCAAGTCACCTCTTAACCTTCTTCTCTCTAACGAAAACAGCCTCAAGACCCTCAGCCTTTCCTCATAAGACCTTCCCTCCATACCAGGCAACATCCTGGTAAATCTCCTCTGCACCCTTTCCAATGCTTCCACATCCTTCCTATAATGCGGTGGCCAGAACTGTACGCAATACAGTAATACAGCATTTGCAGTTGGCATAGGGTATACAATACTAACCTGAAAGCAACAATATTATGTAATTGCAAAACAAATCAGTTGGGAACTTTTTAACTTAATTAATAAAATATAATTCAGCATCTGATATAAGTTGACACTAAACATGTGCGACAGATTTCATACCGTTCCATATTGGTCACTAATGCTAGTAACTCTTGCAGATCAGCCCAATTAATGTTGAGCTGATGTAATCTAGAATGCATTGTCTGAAAGGATGGTAAAAGCAGTTCAATAGTAATTTTCAAAAAGGAATTGCATACATGCAGAATCTTTAAATATTTTTAAGGCAAAGGGAAATAGTTCTTGATTAACAAGGGGATGAAAGATTGCTAGTGAGGTGCAGGAATGTACAGTTGAGGTTAAATTCAGATCAGCCATGATTTTATTGAATCGCACAGCATGCTCGAAGGATCAAGTGGTCTACTGTTGTTCCTCGTTTGTACATATTTGTAAAGGAAACATTCACAGGGTTATGAAGGAAGAGCAGAGAAAAGGACCTTGTTGGATAGATCTTTCAAAAGCCATGGTGGGCTGAAAGATTCTCTTCAGTGTTATAAGACTCTATGAAGATTAAACTAAGGAACCACAGCATGCCTCAGGGTATCTGGACAATGTCAGAGTCAGAGAGAGTTTGGAATTGTTTGATAGTGTCAAGGAACCAGGGAGAGATCAACATTTTTGGATGATACTGTAATGACCAGAGGCAAATGGGATATTTCAGACTTGCTGCTATCATAGGGTGAGATTAGGTTTTTGTGGACTTAGAGATTGGGCTTGAGATTTTCCCAGTACCTGACCAATATTTATCCCTCATTAACATCAGTAAAACAAATTCCCTGTTGATTAAGATTTTTCTGTGGGAGCTTGCTGTGCACTTAATATCCAAAATTACAACATTGCCCGCACTTCAAAATTTCTAAGTTGTTTATAAAGCACATGGGACATCTGAACATTGGGCAAGGTGTTTTAGAAACATAAACTCTTCCTAACTATTTCTTTCTGATTGCATTCAGATATAATATTCCTCTTCAACAAATTGTTTCTAGTGACAGTGGATGTAATAGTTATAAAGTCTGATTAAAACTTCAATAAGAGGGAGGAAACATCAATAAACTCACCTTCATGAGGCGTGGAAACCTTAATACAGGTCTGAAACCTAACTTAATGTACAAAATGTCCAGAGGTAAAAGTGACACTAAGTCCATCTGAAACAGAATCAGAAAATTTACGTTTATATTCATTTTTCCCAGTTAGCTTCTCTTTCCTGCTTTTGAAGATTTCTCTCTCCCTCTTACATATCAAATTTACTTTAGAGTGTGGTTTGCTCATAATGGTTGATCATCCAGCTTCTGACACTTAGTAGTGGTAACGTTATTCTTCACTCAACTCAGCTGGGTCAAAACCCTGGAACTCCCTCCCAAAGGCGTTGTGTGTGTACCTACATCAAGTGGATTGCAGTGGTTCAAAAAAGCAGCTCACTCCCACCTTCTCCAGGGAAGCTGGCAATGGGCAATAAACACTGGTGCAGTTAGTGCTATCCACATCCTGTGAGTGAATAAAAAAACCTGTAGGTCAGTTGAGGAGTGATCCAACTCCTTGGATGAATGGGAATGTAATGCAGTGATGCACAGCTTATAGTTATTTTAATCCACTTGTTTGGACATGTTATCACACATCTCAGGATGGTTGAACATGAATATTCTGGCCTACCTATCTCCTGTTCAGCTGAGGATTGTTGGAAGAGGTAAAATTATCTAATTAGTAGACAAAGGGTGAGGGATGTTGAGTTCAACTATGGGTGAAGACCAGTCAAAGTACACAAGGAGTCAAATGTTTTTCTGAATACTTTTCTTTGTATGAAGATTTAAGTGGCCACTGCTAATGAACAAGAATTTTAACTGTAGCCTGAGTGAGAGATGGAGGCCCAAGCTTGAAACTTCTGAAGTGATGGATCAATGCTGTTAATTAGGTCATTTCCAGTACAGGAGTGATGTTGTTCTCTCACACACACTGATCTATGCATACAAAATATGTAACTAATAAAAATAAGATTACACACCTCAGTTGGTATTTTCTCACTAAATATTCATCATCCTATTCTTCACGATATGACTGGTAGTGTCCCACAAAGTACTGAGTTTGGACTTCAATTATTAATAATTTAGATGATGGAATATAAGGCCATGTGTACAATTTTCCAATAATGCAAAGACACCTAGCAGTATAAGCATTGTGATGGATGCAAAAGAAAAACGATTTTGATGAATTAACAGGTGAAACCATGACAAGTTGACTTTGATATGAGATAATATTCTTTAGACCTAAATAGAAGAGAGAACTTCCTAAATGTTGAAAAGGTTGAAACATTGGGGATCCAGAGAGACTTGGTGGGTCTAGGTACATTGATGGTGAAATGCAATGAAAATAATCATAATGAAAACAAAATAATTGTAAAGGAATTCGCTTCTTTATACGTAGAGCACGAGACTATGCTGGAGTCAGCTAGCTATGTTGGCTAGACAATGGGTTTGCAATGCAGTATAAAGCCAACATTGCGGTTTTCATTCCTGCACTGGCTGAGGTTACCATGACGGACTCTCCTTTTCAACGTCTCTCATTGCCTAAGGCATGGTGACCTTCAGGTTAAACAATCCTCGGATTAAATACCTTTTTGTTAGAATATAAGGGTTAGAAGTTATACTTCAGCTGTATAAAGCTCTGATTAGAGCACATCTAGAGTACTGTAAGCAGTTGTTGGCACAACACCTTGAAAGAAATAGGACTTAGATTTAGTTAAATTGATTAACATTTTCAATTTATTAAAAGGAACAATAAGGCTAGGTAGAAATAAACCATATCTGTTGTTTGGGAAGTCCAGGGCTAGTGAGCATAGTCTAAGAACTTTGGGCGACACAGTGGCTCAGTGGTTAACACTGCTGTCTCACAGCACCAGGAACACGAGTTCAAGTCACTGTGTGGAGTTTGCACACATTCCCTGTGTCTGTGTGGGTTTCTTCCAGGTGCTCTGGTTTCCTCCCACATTCCAAAGATGTGCATGTTAGGTGGATTGGTCATGCTAAATTGCCTGTAGTGTTCAGGAATGTGTAGGGTAGTGAGTTAGTCTTGGTAAATGTGGGCTTACAGGGTTAGAGTGGAGGACTGGGTCTGGGTGGGATGCTCTTCGGAGGGTCAGTGCAGAATTAATGGCCTCTTTCTGCACTGTAGGGATTCTATGATTCAACTAAAGGCAGATCTTTCAGGGATGAACTTATGAAATAATGCTAGTGGAGGTTTGGAACTCTCCTCCAAGTTGATTTTAAACTAAAAATTGATAGTTTTTGTTAACCAAACAAAGAGGGACAAAAGCAAGTGTGTAGATTGTGGTTGCAGTTCAGCCATGATTCCATTGAATGACAGATTGGCTCAGGAGGCCAGACAGTTTTTATCTGTTCCTAAGTTCCTAAGTATCTATCTTCTGAACTCTATTTTCCCTTGTTATGTTTGTGCCTTTTGTTGGCAGACAATAGCGCAAAGCTACCATCTCTTGCCAGAAACACCAAAGAAACTCAGAGGCACTACCTTAATATCAGACTATTCAGGAAAATAAACAAGTAGTGAAGATTGGGAATTTTGAATGGCTGGACAGACTTGAGGGGCTATTTGAACTACTTTACCAGAGTAGGTGTAGTGTAAAGATCTTACACCCAACAACTGAGTTAGCTCCATGCCTGGATAATTTACAGCAGCAAGTGTTGTTCCTTTGGACATTAATATATTTTGTATGAATTCCCACATCAGTGAATAGTGATGTGACTATTGTCCAGCATTATTGAGGTGGCAACAGCATTAGTGTACCTACAGCCCTCCCCATGGACTACACCAACAGCTCACCAACTTTCTCAATGGTAATTAGAGATGGGTATTAAATGCTGTAAAAGCCCATCTCCTGTGAATGTACATTTATAAAAAATGATAAAATGGACAACCTTGTGTCGTTCTGTAGTTACTACTTTATTAAAGAATTCACACCTGGGCAGTTGGGGAGGATGCTGAAGTGAGAATGGAAGATAAATTAGATGACATGACAAGGAGGAACTCAGGCCAAATGGGCCATAAATGCATTTGCCACATTGTTTCACTATCAAGAAACTGCTGAGCAGAAGGCCGTGGGAAACTCTACACGTGATTACAATGTACTCACGAACAGCTGTGATGGAGTTTTTGTCCAGCAGCATTTGTGAAAAGAAAGCAGAGTTGACATTTCAGGTCCAGTAACACTACTTCAGAACTGACTGTGGCCAGGAAAGGATTGGTATATGTGCTGAAGATGGGGTGGGCAGAGGGGGAGAAATAAACAATAGATGCATATGGAGCTCAGAGACAGAGAACAGCAATTGGGCAGACAAAGGAACAAGTAATGGTCAGGCTGGGAGGATCAGTAGCTGTTATAGGGACCAGTACTGGCTGACAATGAGTTGGTAGAGGTACCAGCACATATGATGACAAGGCCACGTGAGCGGGGCTTGGATGAAGGTGCTCAGGCCCTAAAATTATTGAACTCAATATCAAGTCCTGAAGACTGCAGAGTCCCCAAGCAGTAAATTATATGCTGTCCTTCCAGCTTGCACTGAGCTTTGCTGGAACACTGTAGCAACCCCAAGACAGAGATGTTGGCCAGGGAACTAGTAGTGTGTTGAAGTGGTAGGCAATGGAAGCTCAGGGTCATTTTTGCAGACAGAATGTAGTTGTTCTGCAAAGCAATTGTCCAGTCTGCGCTTTGTCTCTCCAGGGAGATCACACTGTAAGCAGTGAATACAGTAGATTCAACAGACTGTACAGCAGGCTATAATATTATGTAATGTGACAGGATTAATTATTGACCTTAGATTAAAGGCACCTCTGGGTAGCAGTGGTTATAATTTGAAAGGGAGTTAGTCTAAAACTAGTATTTTACTCTTAAATAAGGGCAGCCATGTGGGCATGAAAGCTGTACTGGCTGACGTGAATTAGGATACTAAGCTAGCAGATGGATCAGTGGAGAAGTAAATATTTAAAATGATACTTGAGAATACTCGGAATAAGTAGATTCTTACCATAAAGAAAAACTCCAAGGGAAGGACCCACAAAACATCAAAAAACATAAAATTGCGCAAAGATGAACGTCAGTCAACTGGTCAGAATATAAAGAACAATAGAAAATGACTAAAATGTTAATCAGGAGACGTAAGTTATAGCATGAGAGTAAGTTAGCTAGAAATGTAAAATCAGATAGCAAGAGTTTCTATAGGTATCTATAAAGGAAAAGAGTAAGTAAATTGAGTGTTGGTGCTCTAGAGAGTGAGAATGGGAAGTTAATTGTAGATAATAAAGAAATGAAAGATGTAATGAACAAATAGTTTTGGTTTTGTCTTCACTATAGAGGATACAAAAATATCCCAGTAATAGCTATAAATCAGAGAGTTGAAGGAAAAGAGAATATTGTGAAATTAGGCAAACTGTTCTGAACAAACTGATGGAATTGTGAACTGATAAATCATCCTGTTCTGATGGAATTCATCCTAGAGTCTTAAAAGAGGTGGCTAATTAAGTAGCAGATGCATTGGTGTTAACTTTCCAAAATTCATTAAATTCTGGAAAGGTTCCATCAAACTGAATAGTACCAAATATAACCCGTCTGTTCAAGAGGGAAGAGAAACAGAAAACAGGAAACTATAGGCCAGTTAGCTTGATGTCTGTTGTGGGAAAGATGTTAGAACTGATCATTAAGGATGTTATAACTGAGTACTTGGGAAAACTCAAGGTAGAAGAGTCGGCATAGTTTTGTGAAAGGAAAATCACGTTTAACCAATTTATTGGAAGTCTTTGAAGGAATAACATGCATTGTGGATAAAGAGGAATCCAATGAAATACTGCACGTGCAGTTCTAGAACTGCAAGATTCCACATAAAAGGTTATTACACAAATTAGGAACTCATGGTGTAGGGGTAACATGCTAGCGTGGATAGAAGATTGGCTGGCTTGTGGAAATTATGACGCATAAATATGACTTTTTTTGACTGGCACAGTGTGGCAAGTGACATTCTGCAGGGGTCTGTGCTGGGCCCTCAACATTTTACGATTTATGTCAATGACTTAAATGAGGGGATCAAAGGCATGATGGCTAAATTTGTAGATGGCACAAAGACAAGTAGCGAAATGTATTGTGAAGATGACATAACAAAGATGCAGATCAATACAGGCAGGTTAAGTGATTTGTCAAAAATCTGCCAGATGGAGTATAATGTGGAAAAGTGTGAAGTTGTTTACTCCAGTAGTTAAGAATAAAAATGCAGAGTATTTTTAAAACAGAGAATGGCTGCAAAATTTCAAGATGCAAAGGAATCTAACCTTTCTCACAAAACATTCGCAAGCAGGCGATTGCAAAGGTTAATGGAATACCATCTTTTACTTGGAGAATAACTGAACTTGAGTGTAAGAATGTTATGTTTCAGTTGTACATTGCAGCACTGTTAGAACACATCTTGAATACTGTGTGTAGTTTTGGTCTCCTTATTTGAGGAAAGATGTAATTGTGAAAAGCGATTCAGAGGAACTTTACTAAATTAATACCTTGAATGAACAGGCTATCTCGTATGGAAAGTTTGGACAAACTGGACTTGTTTTCACTGGTGTGAGGGGATGACTTTATTGAAGTATATAAGATTCTGAACAGTCTTCACAAGGTCATGGAAAGGAGGTTTCCTGTAGTGGATGACTCCAGAACGAAGGCACACTATTTTAAAATTAGCTTTGCTCTTTTAGGACCAATGAGGAGAATTATTTTCTTTCAGAGCGTTGTGTCCCTTGGAACTCTGCCTCAGAAGGTGGTGGAGACAGGGCTATTGAATATTCTTAAGGTGGAGAGATTGATTCCCATGTCTAGCAGAAATCTAAAGACTTTTGACATTGCTGGGAATGTGGAATTCGGAGCACAAACACATCAGCTGTGATCTTCTTGAAAGGCTGGGCAGGGTTGAAGGGCTGAATGCTGCTAATTCATATGCATGTGGTTGCATAAGGCTTTTCCTGCTGTTTAGAATCTAACATGATCAACAAAAGCTTATGTTCCTTTCCTCTCTTATGTTTACCTAAATTCCCTGCAAATCTGACCTATTTTCAGTGCCTATAGATGCAGCATCTAGGAGAATGCTCTGAAAAAGGTATTTACAAATAAATTAATACACAGTCAACAACTCAATGTAATGCCCATCAATCTCAGAAGTTGAATGACTCACCCTGAATTTAGGTGTTTTCATGTAATTTTCTCTCATAGGCTTTCTTGCTGTCTGAAATATAGAATCACAAAAATCAATATACCAAGGTACCCTTTTATTTGATGGTTCCCAAGAGACTCAAATAGAAGACATTAATTTCAGAGGAGGTTCTGTACATTTTTGGATGTCAGCAGTTTCTAAAAGAGATTTTACAGTGTCGACATTTGGGCAGCTATCAGCTCTTCATAATCATTGATACCAGACCTTATATACTATGCCAGCACGGTGGCTCAGTGTTTAGCACTGCTGCCTCACAACAGCAGGGACCCGGGTTTGATTGCACCCTCGGGCGACTGTCTGTGTGGAGTTTGCACATTCTCCCCGTGTCTGCATGGGTTTCCTCCAGGTGCTCCGGTTTCCTCCCAAAGTCCAAAGATGTGCAGGTTAGGTGGATTGGCCATGCTAAATTCCTCGTAGTGTTCAGGGATGTGTAGATTAGGTGGGTCTTAGGGGTATGGGTCTGGGTGGTGTGGACTTGCTGGGCTGAAGGGCCTGTTTCCACACTGTAGGAATTCTACGATCTATGATCTATGTCCCCTTCTCCCGAATAGTGTTTCTAGCTTGCAATGCATTGTAAGGTCATCTCATTGAAACCCATAAGTTGCACTCTGTATAAAACATGGAACAACTCACTAAGAGCCTTTCTGTTGTCATATAATTATTTTCATCTCAACCAAGTTTCTTACTGAAATTGGTCTGCACAGGTGTTCTGAAGAGAGGTTGAAATTGAAAATAAATACCTCATGATTTTCTCAACTGAAGATCAATGACAGAGCAGTATGTTTATGCTTGCCACAAATTAAAGTTACAACAGAGATAGAGGTCACATGACTATGGCAAATCAGCATTATGTACAACACCTTTTTCTAAGAATCCACATAAAAATAAAAAATATCAAAAATGCATATACTATCATTTATAGTGACAAGTTACCAAAATCCGTGGTCAACAAAGAAAATAATTATTCGTTAAAAAAACTGGACATTAATTCTAGCCAGTCCCATTTTCATCAGTTTCTGAACATGCATTGCATACGTAATCTCAATGTCACGTAGGTCTTTTAATGCTATGTATGAGCAATGGCATTGGCTGTTCATCTGGTATCTGCTCATTCCTAGAGTGGTGTTTCTTCTCTGACAAGTTTAATTCCCATAGCAAAAGCTTATTCCATTGTTGTGCGATGGTGCATATCAATGAACGATGGCCATTTTGTACAGTGAATCAAATCTTCCTGATCAGCCGCCTGCAGTGAAGGAACAACATTTCCAGTTGTACACGCATGCCTGTGGCTGCAACTATATATCTCATAATTCACATTCACTGCATATGATCAAGGCAACAACTGCTGTATACAGGTCTCACATTGCCACATAGGCTGAATCTCATTGAGAGTGTTGAATGTTTGCACACTGGCTCTCCAGTGCTCAGCTCTGGCAATTTTTTGGCAGTTTAATCAAAGTGAAATTTAGCTTTCTGTCCCTTTCACCTTGATTTTGTCACTCACACATATTGCTACTTCTGCTTCAATACCCTTTTTTGCTATTGCACAAGTAATTTAGGTGCAACTTGACATTAGTCTTTAAATTGGACTACTTTCCATGCCTTCAGTCTCCATGTTTCTCCACTCTCCAAGTCTGTGTTGGATTTATTTGATTTCATTATGATCCCTTTGGTGATTTTCATTGCCCATATGGCCTTGCCATTTGATTGGGAACAGTATGGAGATGATGCTTGGTGCTTAAATTTCTAATCATTTATAAAATATCTGAATTCTGAACTCACGTACTGAGGGTTATTGTTGCTCATCATAATGTTTGGAATGCCATAATGAAGAAGTGTGTTTTCAGGCATTCTCAGTGTCAGTTGTTAACATCAGTTGGTTTAATTCCTAGTAGTCAAAATAGTTGTCGACAGGGACAGATAACTAGTTCCCACAAAAGTATAGCAGATTATTCCAAGTTTCATCCAGGGTCTCTCTGGGATGTCATGCATCACAAGCAGATCTTTAGCTTAGTATCCATTGCAAGCATTGCACTAGCTGATTACTCATGGTTGGCCAGTAGAACACTTCTCTTGCCTTCCCCTGACTAGATTCAAACATTTCCGTCAACTCCAATTAGACGACACCACCCGGAATATCTTCCACTCCTCACCCCTCTCTGCCTTCTGCAAGCACCATTACCTTCACCACTCCTTAGTGTGCGCCACAATTCCCACCAACTACTCCAACCCGCCTGATACCTGGTAACCATAAAAGATGCACACCTGCCCACACACCACCTCCATTCAGGGTCCTAAACAGCCCTTCCAAGTGAGGCAGAGCTTCACCCGAATCTCCTCCAACCTAGTCTATTGCATCTAGTGCACCTGATGTGGTCTTCTCTATGTCGGTGAGACCAAACTTAGACTAGGTGACCGTTTCACCGAGCATCTCCGCCTGGCCCGTAATGGCCAAGCTAACCTCCTGGTCACTGCCCATTTCAACTCCCTGCCACACTCTCCCTCTGACATGGCCGTTCTCAGCCTCCTCCAGTGTTGCAGGGATTTAGAATGCAAATTTGATGAACACCACCTTATCTTCCGCCTAGGCACCCTCCAGCTTGGAGGACTCAACATTGAGTTCTCCAATTTCAAATAACCTTCCCAACCATCCCCTGCCTCCCATTCCAGCCCCACCTCCTCCCTTCCGATTCACCTTCTGACCCTCCCTTCCAGCCACCAACTGGATTCATTCCTCTCATCAACCAACCAGGTCATAACTACCACCAGTGTCCACCTATCACCACCATTCCGCCTCCACTCCTGCCCCACTCTTTATCTGCAGCTCCCCCTACCCCCACATCCAGCCCTGAAGAAGGGTAATACCTGAAACATTGACTGCTGTTTCCTCCAAATGCTGCCTGGCCTGCTGTGTTCTTCCAGCCTCCTGTTTGTCTACGTTGGATTCCAGCATCTGCAGTTCTTTTTTGTCTCTAGACTCAATCCCTTGACGGCTTGCACGGTTCTGTTTCAGAAGCTCATTCGTTAGGTATAATAATTCTATTGCCTTTGTGCAAGATACCATCTTGGGTTTTCATTTCATCTCTGTATGCCCATCACTCTGTCATAGCAAAGGGTGTGTTCTTGATGATTTCAGGCCAGCTCTTCATTAATACTGCTTGCAGCACTTGGAAGTTACATCTTGTTGCATTTGCTTTGCTTAATTTCAGCAGTATGCTCGTTTTTCAGATTAAATGACTGCTGGTTTTGTGACTTTCAGAGTGTGTTAAACTATTGTTTTTCATTGAATCTAGAAGATTTCACACTCTGTTTTAGCATCCTAAACTTCCATCATAGGGAGTGCCATTCTAACAGTATATCGGCAATGTATATCTGTTTCTCTTGCTTTTACATCATGTCTAGATGATATCTTCACAAATATAGTAGTTTTCTTTGTAGGTGCATTGGAACAAATAGAAGTAGTCTGAAAAGGATGCTTTGAAGTGATATCTGACTGTACCCTCATTTTGAATCTCCCCAACAGGTGTTGATTAAGATACAAAGACAGGCACTCTTGCTGAGCACAGTATTGTTCAGTCTATGTTAATGACTGAATGGAAATCAACTGGTTGTCCTTGCTGCATAATGGTTGCTGCAAGTCCTGTCTTGCATGGATCGCTGTAAGGTGACTTCAGTGATGTCAAAGTACCACAGAATTGGTGTTATCATCACTAGTTGTTTGATTCTAGCGAAAGCTGCCACTAATTCTGTCCCCAATGTCATTGCACACCCTTAACAGTGAGTTTGCATAGAGGTTCACACCTTGATGATGAATTGTGTGAGAATTTTGAATGAATAAATTATTGCAATACTTGCACTTTTGTTAGTTGCTGAATCTCAGCTACAGCTTTCACTTTGTCAGGATCCAGGTGAAATCCTTTTTCTGTCAGTACGTGATCTATGTAATGGATTTCAAACATCTTTAATTGCATCTTTTTCCAAGATCTTCTATCTTGTTTTTCAGGCAGGGCTTAAGGGAAGCTGGAACTCTCTTGTTATGGCTGCTAAGTTGGTATAACATACTCATTTATTCCAAGATGACAATCACCAGAAAGACATACAGACCTGAAAAAACAGTTTTGTTCTCTTCTAGAATTGGTTTGGCAGTCAATGGCTTGGTGGCCTGTATAATGATGTAAATCTCTTCTGGCACATTTAGAGTTATCAGCCCAGGCTTCGGAATTTCTTCAGTTGAGATAAGTGAATTTTGCTTAACATCTACTATCTGGAACCATACATCATCATTCTTCCCATTGCATCATTTACTTGTCCTCTTGAAATAGTGCTGTTTCGTCATATAACTTTAACATTATATTTAAGGGCTTCAACCACCTTGAAGTGATTTTGTGAAGCACATCACATCACATTAAGCACAAGGGTCTAATGAACACTTCACACTCATTTGATGATCTCCTTCTGCACTCATCATTCTAACAGTCACCAACTATTCATAAGCTTTCGACCTGACAATGCCGACATGTTTTATGCTGTATTTCTCAGCATAATCGGTTGACATCTCTCTGGCAGGCAACATTATGGGTTTGCTTTGCTTCATTCTAGCTAAGGAGCATGAGAAGTGATTTGTTCACAATTAGAGCATTGTCTTTCCCTTGCATGATAGACTTCCTTTTCTTTTGTGTAATGTCCTCCCCTGTATTTATATCATGCCCGCTGGTCTTGATCTTTCTGCTGGGTCTTCTGCAAATATTTCATTTTTTACAACATATTGTTCTTGTTTAATCCGAAATTTCACTCAGCATAATGTTCTCCCACTAATACTCTCTAGCTGAGGATCAGCAGCGTCTAAGATTCTGCATATATTTCTTCAGAGTAAGTTTCTCCTCTCTCAGTAGACATGCTCTTTTGGCATGATCTCGTATGCTTAAAACAATCCTATTTCTGGTGAAATCATCTTTCCATTGTCTAAACTCTGTGGATTTAGCTAGTTATGTCAGTGCCATCATACACTGACAAGTAGTCTCCCATTCTGTTTGAGTTCTGATGTTGAATATATGCTATAAGTAACATATGGACATAAGTAACATTAATAAAGGGTTCTAAGTATGTTTTCTAATCCACGATAATCTCTCCTGTGTGTGTTCTCTGCTCCTTAATGAGGTTTGGGATACAATACACCTTTTAGCACTCTTTCCCCAGCAATGCCAGTGTTGTTTCTTTTCTTTGCTCAGTCTTTTCACTTAATTCTGTAGCTATCTCATAGCTTTGTCACTGCAAGTAGAAAAGTTCCAGTTATGTCTCATATCTCTTCATTTCCACAGTAGGAGGGAGTGGAAAATCCAGAGGCATTCCAATCCACCTAACATTTCAAAATTGCAGACTGTTTCAATTCTTCCATGGTAATGTTTTATAGTAGCTGGCTGTCTTACAGCTCTGGAGATTCACTCAACCTCAGCTTCTAACTTCTGACATTACGTTTCAAAATAATGAGTTTGATGGCTTCCACAAATCAAAATGAGAGCAAAGTGTAACAGAGGTAGAGGTCACATAACGGCAAGGCTGTGAATACACTGCACAATGACATTTCTCTAAATAACAATTACTCATTTCCTCCAATGCTGCCATCCAATTAAATGGACAATGTATGCCAACTATATCTGAATACATCGGGGTCACAATGTGGAAATACAGAGTAGATGAGGTGTGGTTGTCAGCCCGTTATAAGCTGGTTAGATTTAATATAAGATAATTCAGACATTTTAATTCAGAATTCTCCAATTTGGGAGCCCACAGATCCAAATTTGGACACACACAAGACTCATGCCCAAAATGCTGAAACATCCAGTGCTGAAAATAAAAGAAAATTCAAAGTCCAATATGATTAAAAACAGTGACATCTCATGAAAGTGGTGAGATATGGTAATAATTAAGGGACGATTTACATCCTGGATTCATGCTAGACTTTTGAGTGTTTGCAGTAGTTCAAGGTTACTTTAAATATATGTAATTGGTTGGAGAGGCAATGGCCTAGTGGTATTATCACTGGGCTGTTAATCCAGAGACCTAGATAATGTTCTGGGGACTCAGGTTTGAATCCCGCCATGGCAGATGGTGGAATTTGAATTCAATAGATATCTGGAATTAAGAATCTAATGATGACTGTGAATCCATTGTTGATTGTCAGGAGAAAAAACCCATCTGGTTCACTAATGTCCTTTAGAGAAGGAAACTGCCATCCTTACCTGGTCTGGCCTACATGTGACTCCAGACCCACAGCAATGTGGTTGACTCTTAATTGCCCTCTGGGCAATTAGGGATGGGCAATAAATGCTGCCTCGCTAGTGACACCCTCATCCCATGAATGAATAAAGGTACATGGGTACAAAGAGTGGAGTTTTCACTTTTATCTCCAAGTGGCAAACCAGCCTTAGTCATCTGGCCATCTTGATAGGCCACATGAAATAAATAAAGAGTGAGGTATAAAACTATAAGTTAATGTTAAAGTGACAATAAACACCTATAAACCTCAATAAAATCTATTAGTATGCATTAATGTTTTCAAATGAAAAGACCGATTATTGGAATCTATGCACAGGAGCTGCTTGTTATCCTTGCTACCTGAAAGGAGGCAAAATTACAGTCAAAGTGTTGGAAACAATAATGTGTGATACAGAACAAAGGACTACAGGGCTTTGTGCCAATGGTGTTCATGAGAAAAACAAACAGTTCTTAACACATGGTAGAGAGCAAACACTGCATGAACAATGTTTATTCATTACTGTAGATGAAATTAAAGTGATTACTCACTATAATGTCTCCTCCTTGAACGAACTGAAGACGGGATTGGAAAAAAGCGATGTCTATCACGTAGATCAGATCACAGAAATAATCCATCAACAGCCACAGGTGGACGTTATCAGGTGTTTGATAAGGAAAGGTACAACGAACAGGGATTAACCAAACATTCCAATTCCAGGCGAAGACCACAATGGATAACCACAGCACATACATTGGATCTATTATTGGAGAAAACAGTAACTGTGCTTTATATTGATCTATATATACACTACAGAAAGATGCAGTATTGCATCATTCTGTACTGTTTAAATAGCAGTAAAATTCAATTGTAACTGATTACTTGATAATACGATGTAACCTTAATTTGCCAAGTTCAGCAAGTTCTAAACCGACAAAGATTGACAAGTTGTTTTTAATTTACCAGCAGCAGTAATACAAGAACTCTGATCATATCATATTAGCAGTATGTATTGTAACTATACAGAAAGGTGCACATGTTTGTGATATAGGGATAATGTCAGGTGATGATATATAAAGAGGAAATTAGACAGTGTGCACTTGATGTTTATGAAGTTGAATCTAAGTGCTTTGGAAGTAAAGTAAATACAGTTTGGAATGTGGTACAAATTCATTATTTAATACAGAAATGTGTCAATATTTTCTGATATTTAACAGACACAAAGCTGATGTTACATTGTCTTCAAATTATAAAAATGAACCTGGACAGAATCAATAAGAACCAACACCATTCCCAATGCTGCATTTTATATCAGCAATACTAGCGTGAGCACCACTACCATTAGCATTAGAGTAAACCTACCACAACCAGCTCAAATATCAACACAAGAGTTGCAATATTTAGACAAGCACAACCTAACAGGTCACCAGCAGATGAGCATTTACCTTGCAGGAGCTAGGAGCATTGACAGTGGAGGAATGCCTGCTAACCAAACACTCTTTATATCACAGGTTTTAGCCTCAAGAAGATATCAAAGTGGGTAGGAAGTCAGTAACATGAACTTTAAGGCAAACCATTTGCACATTAGCAGACCATTCAAGTTTGAAATGTTGGATTCTGTCGACAGACCTCAAATATTTTAAAAGGGCAAATTTGATTTTACTGTGCTTTGAATCTTGTCATTGAACTATCGGGACTTGTTCAGCTGTCAACATAAAAATAAGGTTGAAATCTAAAAGAAATCTAAGGTCAAATCTCCAAGCAGTTCTTCAGTAAGTCAGGTGGAGTGGGATCAGAAGTTAGTGATGATGCAGAGATTGGTTTGAGACAAGTAGGTAATTAAAAGGTTGGTCTACTGGTGGTTCAATTGCCCTGGATGGCACACAAACATATAGACAAGGAAAATCGCAAGTTGGATTGCTAGTCTTTGCTGAGTTAGGCTGTCAAACAGTTGAGCTTTCTCCCTTTGATCACAAATACCCTCAATTTACGAAGAAGGAGAAAAACAAACAACTTTTTCTTTGCTGGGAATGATTGAAAATGTAAGAAATCAACTTTTACATAAACGGAATGAAATCTGATGTCTACTTTGCAATTACTTTTTGATCTGTGAGTCTGTGCTTAAAATTATACATGGAAAATCAACAACTTAATCGCAGACTCCTACTATCGCTATTTTATGGCTGCCTAATCTGTACATAGTAGTTAATTTGTGTACCAAATGTGTTTACACTGGCATTAAAACCTCAATATAAATATAGAGTCAGGACGTTGCTGTACTTGAGAGACCCCCAGCAATGAAAATGGCTCTGCCACAGTCAATAACTGCCCTGTATTAGCAGCAACACTATAAAACTGATGTAGGAGCAGAAATAGGCCATTTGGTCCATCGAGTCTGCTTTGTCATTCAATGAGATCATGGCCAATTGATAATCATCAACTCCACTTTCCTGCATTATTCCCATAACATTTGATCCCCTTATTAATAAAACATCTGTCAACCTCAGCCTTAGATGTACTGAACAACCCAGCCTCAACAGCTCCCTACAGTAAATAATTCCACAGATTCACTACTCTCTGAGAGAAAATAATCCTCCTCATCACTGTGTTAAACAAGCAATCCCTTACTTTGAGATTCTGCCCTCTGGTCCTAGACTCTCCCATAAATGAAACAACCTTTCTGCATCCATCACATCAAGGCCCAGAAGAATATTATGTATTTCAATGATCATTATTCTAAACTCCAACGAGTACAAGCTCAATCAACTAAACCTCTCCTCATAAAACAGTCCATCCATACTCGGAATCAACCCAATCAATCAATCTTCTCTGGATCTTATATCTTTCCTCAGATAAGGGGACAAAAACTGTTCACAGTATTCCAGCTGTGGTCTCACCAGTGCCTAGTATAGTTTTAGTGAGACCTCCTTATTTTCATGCATCATCCCCTTTGAAGTAAAGACTACTGGTTCATTTGCACTCCCTATTACCTGCTGAACTTGGTTGCTAGCTTCTTGTAATTCATGCATGTCAGCTCTAAATCCATCTGTGTTGCAGCTTTCTGCAGTCTTCCTCCATTTAACTATCATTTAGCTCTTCTATTCTTCATGCCAAAGTGCAAACGGGTTAAAAATTGGATAAGTCCCATTTCAATGTGAGAATACCTGGTGCCTGATTGGGGTGATCTAAGCAGCACATAAACTTTGAAATGCCCATTTATCTTCATTATTGGTTGTATGCAGAATACTTTGCTGCCTGATTACGTGCTCTACATGAGGTCCAGCTGCATGTGAGGCCAGTATAGGTAAAGCTGGTCTGTAATTGTTAGCGTCTACCTATGCATCATAAATTGGAGTTGGATTGTGGCTACAACACAATCTCAAAATATTTTTTGGGAAAATATTTTTTTAAAATTTGTTTATAGGAAATGGAATGTTTCTGATGAGGCTAGCATTCATTTCCCATCCCTAAGTGCCTTTGAGAAGATGATAGTGAGCTGTCCTTTTGAATTACTGCAGTCCATGTGGTGTAGGTACACTCGCAATGCTTTTAGGAAGGGACTTCCAGTTTTGACCCAGTGACAGTGAAGGAATGGCGATATAGTTTCAAGTCATGATGCTGTCTGGCTTTGAGGAAGTCTTGCAGGTGATGGTTATCCAGATGGTAGAGGATGTGGGTTTGGATAGTGCTGCTGAGGGAACCTTGTTGAATTCTTCCTGCCCATTTTGTAGAAGGTATACACTGCTACTACTTTGTGTTGGTGGTGGAGAGAGTGAATATTTGAAATGATGGGTTGCTTTGTCTTCGATGGTGTCAAAGTTTTTGTGTTTTGTTGGATCTGCACTTATCCAGGCAAGTGGAGTGTTCTCCATTGCACTCCACTTAAACCTTGTAGATGTTGGTAGGTATTGGGAGACCAGAGGTGAGTAACCACAGAATTCTTAGCCTCTGATCTGTTCTTGTAGCCAAACTTGGCTACAAGAACAGATCAGAGGCTAGCTGGGGGAACACAGCAGGCCAGGGCAGCTCCACACTGTGTTACCTCAGACTCCAGCATCGGCAGTTCTTACTATCATATATATATTGTTGGTCCAGTAACTAATAACACCATGACATTGATTGTGGTGGAATTCAGTGATGGTAATACCAATGAATGTCAAGCAGAGATGGTTAGATTCTCTCTTGTTTGAAAATGTAATTGCCTGCCGCTTCTGTTGGAGAATGCAATTGCCTACCACTTCTGTTGGATGAATCTTACTTGCCACTTATAAGCCTAAGTCTGAATGTTATCCAGGTTTTGCTGCTTGCAGGAATACATGCTTCAGTATCTGAGGACTCTCAAATGTTTTACAATCATCAATGAACCCCCCTCATTCTAATCTTACAATGGCAGGAAGGCCATGGATGAAGCAATTGAAAACGGTCAGGCCTGGGACTCTACCCCAAAGAACACCTAGAGCATTGTCCTGGGACTGAGTTGGTTGGCCTCCTGTGACCACAACCCATCTTCCTTTGTCAAAGGTATGGCTCTAATCAATGGAACGTTCTGTCTCTGATTGTCATTGACTTTAGTTTTGCTAAGGATCATATGCTACAATTAGTCGAGTGCTATTTTCATATCTAGGGCAATCACTCCCATCTCACTTCTTTTCTCAGTTCACCTCTTTTTCTCTATGTTTGGACAAAGATTGTGTTGAAGTGAGGAATTGAGTGACCCTAATGGAAGCCAAACATTGAGCTGCTTATTGTTGTGTAATTGACATTTGATAGCACTGTTGATGACTCCTTCCATCATTTTGCTGATAATTGAGAGCAGTCTGATGTGCTTGGCTAATTTGGATTTATTGTGCTTCTTGTAATGAGAACGTAGCTGAGCAACTTTCTACACTGTCAGGTATTTACTAGTGTTGCATGTAAGTCTTCAGTACTATTTCCAGAGTATTGTCAAGGCCTGCAACTTTTGTGGTATCCAGTGGATCAGCTGTTTCTTGATACCACACATAATGAATGGAATTTGCTGAAGATTGGCAACCAAGACTCTGGGGTTCTCAGGAGAAGACCAAGATGGATTAACTACCTGACAGATCTGGCTGAAGATAATTGCAAATGTATTAGCCTTGCCTATTGCAATGACATGACAGGCTTTCTCATCATTGAGGATTGGGATATTTGTAGAGCTTCCTCCTGCTGTTGTTAGCTGTTTAATTATCTACATCATTCATAACTGTCAGAGCTTCCATCTGATCTGTTGGTTGTGGAATTGCTAAGCTCTATCTGTTGCAAGCTGTTTCAGGTGTTTGGCACGCAAGTAGTCATGTGTTGTAGCTTCATTAGATTGATACTTCATTTTTTAGGTATGCTTGTTATGTCCACTACACTCTTCATTGACGCAGGGTTGATCCCATGACTAGATGGTAGTGATGAATGGGAACGTGCCATAACATTACAGATTTTGGCTGTATACAGTTCTGTTGTTGATACCCACAGTACCTCATGGGTGAGAGACAGTAGGAACTGCAGATGCTGGAGAATCCGAGACAACAAGGTGCAGGGCTGGATGAACACAGCAGGCCAAGCAGCATCATAGGAGCAGAAAGGCTGACGTTTCGGGCCTGGACCCTTCATCAGAAAAAAAGTACCTCATGGGTGCCCAGTTTTGAGTTGCAGTGTTTGAAATCTATCCCATTTAATATGGTGGTGGTATCACTCAACCCAGTGGTAAATATCTTCATTATGAAGTCAGGACTTCATCTCCACAAGGATGCACATACGCTCACCCATACTGTCATAGACAGGTGCATTTGCTACAGGTAGGTTGGTGAGGAAAAAGTCAAGTAAGTTCTTCCCTCTTGTTGATTCATTCATCACCTTTGACACACTCAGTCAAACAGCTGTGCTCTTCAAGACACTGACTGACTACTGACACTCAGTAGTACTACTAGCTACTGAGCTACTCTTGGTGATGAGCATTGAAATCCATCACCAAGAGTCCATTCTATGTCCTCGCCATTTTCTTCTGATAGGTATTCAACATGGAGGAATACTGATTCAGCAGCTGAGATTGGGGTTGAGGTGGATGGTGGTTGCAAGCAGCAGGAGTTTTTCTTGTTCATGTTTTACTTGATACTGAGGGAATTCATTGTGTCTGTATTTAATGTTGAGGATTTCAAGGACAACTAGCTACCACTGTACCACCATCTCTGGTGAGCCTGTCCAGCCCAAGGTAAAGAACATACTTCGGAATGGGCATAGTGATGGCTGGGACATTGTCAGTAAGGTATGATTCAGTGACAGTGGCTATATCAGGCTGTCGCTTGACTAGTCTGTAGGACAGCTGTCCCAAACTTGACAAAAAAACCTCTAGATGTTGGCAAGGAGGACTTACAGGGTTGGCAGGCTGTGTTTACCATCATCATTTCTGGTGCCTGGATCAATGTCCAGCGGTCCTTCCAATATCATTCCTTTTAGACTTTGCAGCAGTTTGATACAACTGAGTAAATTGCTAGGCCATTTCAGAGGGCATTTAAGAACCAACCACATTGCTGTGGTCTGGAATCACATATAGGCCAGAATGGAAAAGGATGGGAGATTTCCTTCGCTGTACACGGATGTACAATTTATATCTTTACAATCTTGTTACTTTATGTGAATGCAATAGTATTGTCTGAAAAGAAAGGAAACTTTATCCTATTCATCTGGGCAGTTTTAAATGCAAGCCATGGAAACACAAGAGAGTGTCCATCCACTGCATGGCACAGTGATCTGTTCCACACTGGTGACACTGGAATTTGCTAAAGTCACAGCCAGGATAGTATGTGTTTATTTGAATCATCAAAAGAGAATGTCATTTGTTTTTTGCCTCGTTGTAGCACAGAATCACACGAAATAAAATTATACAAATAGGACTATGGCAAAATATAAACATACTTATTCATGGAAGTTGCAGCTAGTCAATCCCAAACTGCTCTTTAACACTGATGTGATGAGATTTAGCTAATTAAATTATTGTTCATATTACTTATTGCCTAAATTTGTTGTTGTTGACTTTTTAAAAAATCACTGAGCAAGACTGTGAATTAGGTACAACCAGCATTAAATAAACCATGTATTGTTGACTAGTTATTGCTCAATTAAAATCTTATGGACCATGACTTACTTAGGTTCCCTTTGATTAGACAGCATTTTGATGTTCCTTTTTGGCTGTTGTTTTAAAAAAATTAATTCCTGCTATTAAGTTACTAATAGGAAAAGCAAGTCTGAGGCATTTGCAATTGTCTGTATCCAAAATGTCAGATGGATGATTGATCTCAGGATCCTTCTGAGGACTTAAGCGTCACATATATCAGTCTTCACCAAATCTAATTCATTCCACGTATACCAAGGAATGGATGAACACATTGGATATGATGAAGACTGTGGGTTCTGACAACGTTCCAGCTGTAGTACTGAATACTTACTTTATTCCCTCAATCTAAGCTGTTCCAGTTCAGCCACAATACTGGTATTTACCCAAATTGCCCAGATAGGTCTGATTCTCAAAGACCAAGATAATTCCAATCTAGCCAATTACTGCCCCAACAATCTGCTCTCAGTCTTCAGCAAAATAATGAAAGGTGTTGCTTTCTCTCCACAGATGCTGCCTGACCTGCTGCGATCACCAGCACTTTTTGTTTTCAGTACAGATTCCAACATCTGCAGTAATTTGCTCCTACCAACTCTGCAACAATGTTTTCATGGATGTTCAATTTGGGTTCCAATAAAGCATCTGAGCTCTTGACTCAATAATGTTACAAATTTAAGTTTGTCAGGTTTTATAAATGATTATTATTTAACTTTTCTATTTGATGTTGTTGTTTTAATAGCAGATTAGAGTTTGGGAATCCTGTGATGAGTGACTCACTTCTGACTCCTCAAAGCCTGCCCGTTACCTGCAAAGCACAAGCCAGGAGTGCAATGAAATACAATCCACTTGCCTGAATGAGTGCAACTCCAACAATGCAAAAAACACAACACCACTCAGGACAATACAACTATTTTGATGCTATCGTTTCCAGGACCTTAAATAATTGCTCCCTCCGCTACTGATGAACATATTCCATTAACAGCTCCTTCCAACCTGTGACCTTTACCACCTGGAAGGATGAGGGAGCAAATACATGAGAATACCAATCCCTGCTGGTTCCTCTCCATGCAACACACCATCTTGGCACAATTTCATGATTCTTTTACTATTTCTGGGTCCATGTTTTGCAACTTCCTCCCAAACACCTTTGTGGGTGTTCTTACATTGCAAGAACTGCAGCAATTCAAGAAGGCTGCTCACCAGTTCCAAGATCAATTCAGGTTGAGCAATGAATGTTGGACTTGCATGAACAAAAAGACACATTGACTGTTGCTGCTCAGATCATTTCTCATTGACTATTTACCTTTCAGATGTGCGCTTGTTCACTAGTGACTGTTGAACAGTTTTTCCAGAGACAAGGTTCCAATGAATAGCTAGTGCTTAGGTTACATTTCAATGACCAGTCCTTGTGGACTGTTTGCTACACAGATCAGTTTCCACTGAGTCAAGATGATTGGTACCTACTCACTAATCTCCTGATCTATTAAGAGCCCATTGGCCAATTACTGCCCATTAAGTTCTGCTTGGTTTCAATCCTGTTGATCTTATTGATCCTACTGGTGCTTGGTTGGTGCTCAGATCAGTTTAGTTCACACCAGCATAGTTTGAAAAATATTTTCAAAGATTGTTCCAATCAAACCTACTGCTGAAGGGGTCAACGCTGGATGGAAACCCCAGTCCTCTAATCCGTCTGATCCAAGGTTGAGTTTTAAACCGGCAGCACATCATTTCACAATAATGTTCTTCCTCCTCTTCCTCCTTTTCTTCCTCTCGCGGTGGGGGTGGAGGTGGAGGGGGGGCTTCCATAGCCTTCTTAGTTGGGGCTGTGATATAAGTAAATGAATAGTCAGATTTGTTTGTGAGCAAGTGGAAAACATTTGCGCCATCTAATGGAGCAAATTAATAAAAATGACATGCATTTCTATAGTGTCTGAGGCCACAGGAAGTTCCAGGTCACTTCACAGCCAACATAAGACCTTTAAAATGTTGCCACTGTTACAATGCAGAAAATATCATAGTAAAGAATCATAATGAAATTCACTTCCACTGCCAGTGTGGGCAATGTCACTTATCCTTCAAATTTTATGTTGATTCATGGACACATCTGAAGGGCAGACAGAAATTCAACCTCAGCTTATATCCACTTCCCAGGAGGATGTGTCAGGGTGTCTAGTTGAGGTGTAGGCAACAGAAAGGATGCATATTTTTCCACTAGTCTGGCCAGGCTTTAGACCTGAGACACAGAACTGAGAGGAAAGGCTATTAACGCTTTTGAGCACTTTTGAGTTCTGAGGAAGGGTCACCGGACCCGAAACGTTAACTCTGTTTTCTCCTCCACAGATGCTGCCAGACCTGCTGAGCTTTTCCAGCAACTTTGTTTTTGTTCCAATGCTTTTGAGCTGTTCAATTCCTCTACCTTCCCCACCCACCTTCTGTTTGTATCTTCCCGAATTCCTCCAACATTCATTTTAACCTAGTACTACTGCTAAACATTTTGAAATCCTCCCTGAAGCTGAGTCAATAATCCAATAAACTTTGCAGTTGCACCAGTCCACAATTTACATTGTCACCTACTGTGCATACCGTCTACCGATCCCATTCCACACACCAGGACCCTAATTCTTCAATCCCTTTACTTACATGCAGTTGGACTTCCCTCATCTTCAGATGCATCAGGGTCAATAAGCTTTTCCTTGACTAGTTCTGTTCGTTCTTTAAAGCTTCTCACCAGCTCTTGGAGGCGCTCATTAACAATGGCGCTGGTAATACTTGTTGTTGAACCCTGTTTATCTCTGGAACTGAACAAGAAAACTGAATTCAGGAACTTTGAATTTCCATACAAGATGTGTTGGATGCTAGCTTTATAAAGGTAGCTTATGATTATTAATGCTGTGAGTATTTACACTAAGGGGCATACTGTATTAAATGCAAGTTTTGGTAGAATAAAATTTATTGCAATTCTAGTAACCTTATAAATCCGTGTATATCTTGTCAACCATTTTACGTAACTTATTAGGCTGTGGCTACCAATCACTGTTAGCTTGTGGTTGGGGTAGCTCACTGGCACTAATCTTCCTTTCTATGCTTAGTCTAGGGCATGTCTAATGAGCAGTGATAGAAGATAGACCACGAGAGAGTGTTAACAATAGATACTTGTATTAAACTAAACCTTGTTGTGTAAACATGATTAATGTAGATACAATTAATATTAACTAGTTAGGCACAATTATGGCTATCAGGAACCATCAGGATCTCATGCAAAACTATTTTTCCACATAAAAACTGTGTGATGTCATCAGATTGGGTGGAGTTAATGTAATTTCACCATCAACTCTTTCATAACCATGCCCCTTGACAACACTCGTTATTGTTCACTACTCAGTCCTGTTGCTTTATTTCTGGACTGTGATCTGGGGAACATCTGCAGCTGTCTGACTTCTATATCTGCCCTGGTAGTGAGCCCAACCCCAATCAGCCTAATGAAAGTGTGGAACACCCTTAGGTTCCTTTGCTGCTGCGGCTGCAATCTGTGCATCTACACTTCTACAGCCTCTATTCATGGAATTGAGCAATAGGACTTCTGGGAATTCTACTGTTGCAGTAGGTTCATCTTTTAGTATTTTTTCCAAGAATTGATAAAATACAGGTATATTTTGAATAAATACAAGTGGGCATCACCAAATTAATTAAATAAATGAGACGGCTTAAATCGGAATTTTTGCCTGTACCCCCATCTCTCCCTTCTCTTCTGTGGTATTCAAATCTCTATCACCTCCTCCCTCTCTCTCCCCTCTTCTCCGTACTTATTTCTTGCTCAATCTACACCTGTTGCTCTCTGTTTATTGTAAACTGCAGTGAGGAACTATACCAGGAACTTGAGTGGAAATGACTACATAGTACAAGTTGAGTGCATATATCACTGCACCCCATCTCCACCCAGTGGAACCAATAGCAACCCTTCTCTCTGAAGTCATTTGCAGCCAGCAACATTTGACAACTTCTTGAAACAATCAGGGGACAGGACTGTGGCAAAAATAAGCAGCATCTGCAGCAGCAGGAGGAGCTTAGTAAAAATCAACTTCAAAACACCCAAACGTCTGTTGGTCAGGCACCTGTCATCAACCTGGAGATTTGTTTGGCTATTCCAAGCTTGCACAGGTGACTCATGGGATGGTTCATCCACATTTTCCTGATTGGACTTACTTCTGTTCAACAAAGAAAAAATGCAGTCATTGGTTATTTATCAAAGTCAATTTAAAGCCATCACAGAAAAATGTACAGCTCTACCAGTGTCTGCAGGATAAGGCATGGCTTTAAGTCATCAAACTCTGAGGAACGTGATTGTGCTCCTGCTCTGGAACTAGAAGAGTCAGGGTTCAAATCTTACTTCAGATTTGTTGACCAAGGAAGAAGTGTTTACCTAGGGTCAAAACAGGTTGTTAATCAGGCTGCAAAATCCTTTGAACATTTAACACCATTTTCCAATGGAGGAAAGAGTGCAGCAATATTAAGTTGAACTGCTGCATTTTCACAGAAGGGATGGGAAAGAAACAAGTGAATCTTTATACTTCACTTTAGAAACAAGAGCAGATAAAATTTATTGATTTGTTTACAGTGAGGGAAAGTCACTATAGTCTTACCAGACCATAGTGCTGCTCTGTCATTATAGAGAGAGAGAGATAACTGGTAGTTTAATCTGAGGGTCAGCACATCTCAGGTAAGGTTGAGAAGGATAATCCTTCATGGCAACCTCGGCCAGCGCAGGAATTGAACCCATACTGTTAGTATCAATCTAAATCCCAAGCTAGCCATTCTGCCAACTGAACTAAATGAACTGACCAGTAGCTCATCACTCAGCCTAAGTATCTTTCTTTTAATTATATTGATGAATATTGAGATGCATTCAAATAAAAGAAGCAAACATTGACTTGTTCCACAATTCTAGCATTTTCTGTCCAATTTGTAGCCGAAGGATTAGGACTGTAAAGAAACCAACTCCACGTATTAACATTTTTACCGTTTGCCTTCTTATTTTTGAATTAGTGAATTGGATTAATATAAAGGACAAAAAAAGGCAGACAATGATCTATTCCTGAAATCAGATAACTCCATACATTTTTCTTTTAAGTATAGGCCCAAACCGAGGGTGGCTGTAGGTCAGGCAGGAAAATTGACCACAGCTTCAGGTCTCATAAATGTCTGAAATCAGGGCATCTTTCATGGGTTTCTGATGAGCTACCACCAAAAGTATGACTGGAGAACTATGGTAGATTTATCAGATTTCAGGTCTTGTGCATTTTATCACTTTGAAAGTGCAGATTGTGCTTTCATAAATGTCTGGGTTGGATGGGAAAGTGAGAGGGATTGCATTCAAGTACTTGATTTCCTTGCGCAATTGTTACTGCAAATGCATGGATTTTGCATGTGGGCCTAGCGGTGATTTGGCACCTGTTCAGTAAATTAAGTTTGGTAACTATCTAGGGTGGAAGTGGTATTGACCTGAGAAGTAGCAGTCTGTTATAAAGACATGCTCATGTCAAATATTAATTAATTAATTATTAATTAATTGCCTGGAACTAGATACTGAACTTTTTAAAAAGGCAGTTTCTAACCAAAACAAAACCTTAATTGAAACTAAAAATGGAAGTCTTAATTTGACATTCCACTCCATTAGGTAGAGATACAGGGTCTACAAAAGCCCCAGCAGAGATAATTAACCCACAGAGGGTGTAAGCAGTTTCCTTCTTACCTTATCAAGAAAAGTTCACAATATGCAACCATGGAAGAAAGACTCATTCAGAAATAACTTGGAACGGACAATGGACCTTAATTTTCTTATGATGACTGTGCAGATATAAGCTAATAAAAGCTACCTTTTTGGAATATGCAATGGACTTTTGAACTTCTGGTGGCAGGTGAAGATAGGTCATGTGATCAACCAATCATTTTGTGTGTACATGGATTTCAGCTGCCAGCAGACCACTGTCAGCTGTGGAACAACATAATTTAGATTTATAATAGTGAAATGTTCCAATGAAATGCTTCAAAGGAAACCTATTAAGCTACTTTGCTATAGAATCATGTTAGAAGATATTAAGGCAAATGGCCATGAGACGTAGGTTTTAAGAAGCATCTAAAAAAGTGAAAGAGCAAGAGAAGCAGAAGTTTAAGGAAGAAATTCAAAATCTTAGGCAGCAGGAAGCTTGAATGTGAAAACAGGAGTGATCATGAATGTGATTTAGTGCATGTAGGACACAGAAAACAAAGTTTTAGATGGCCTGGTTATAAAGGGTAGAACCTGGAAGGCTGGCAAGGAGTTTGGTTTTAGTCTTCAATGGGATTGGAGCATCACTGGCAAGGTCAGTACTCATTGTTAAACTCTAACATCTCTTAAGGAGGTGGTGACAAGCCATCTTCTTGAAACTCTGCAGTCTTGTGAAGTGAATTACTTCCACAGTGAAGTAGACACCAGCATTTTGTTCCAGCAACAATGAAGGACAGTGCATAATATTTCAAAATCAGAATGGTATACGACTTAGACTCATAGAGTAATAGTCATACAGCACTGAAACAGGACCTTCTGTCCAACTCTTCCATGCCAAGTAAGTTTCCCAAACTAAACTAATCCCATTTGCCTGCATTTGGCCCATATCCCTCTAAACCTTTCTTATTCATGCACCTGTCCAAATGTCTTTTAAATCTTGTGACTGTACCTACATCTACCACTTTCGCTGACAATTCATTCCACATACGAACTACCCTCTGTGTGAAAAAGTTGTCCCTTTTAAATTTTTGCCCTCTCACTTTAAAATTATGCCTTCTAGTTTTGAATTCCCTACCCGCGGGAAAAGACCTTTGCTATTCACCCTATCTATGCCCTTCATGATTTTATAAACCTCTGTAAGGTCATCCCTCAACCTCCTACATTCCATTGAAAAAAATCCCAGCCTATCCTGCCTCTCCTCATAATTCAAACCTTCCAGTCTCAATAACATCCTTGTAAATCTTTTCTGCACCGTCCCCAATTTAACAATATCCTTCCTATAACAGGGCAACCAGAACTCTACACAGTACTCCAAAAACGGCCTTACCAATGTCCTGTACGACCGCAACATGACGTCCCAACTCTAATACTCAATGGTCTTGGCAATTAAGGCAAGCATGCCAAACACCTTTACAACCCTGTCTTACCTGTGACGCAACTTTCAAGGAATTACGTATGTGAACCCCTAGGTTTCTGTTTAACAACAATCCTCAGGACCCTGCCATTAACTGTGTAAGTCCTGCTCTTGTTCATCTTACCAAAATGTGACATCTCGCATTTATCTAAATTAAACTCCATCTGCCATTCCTTGTGCCATTCCTGTGTACCTGATTCCTTCAGCTTGTTCAGTTTGTTGTGGAGGGTGTAAATTGGGGAAAAAAAAATCTTCCATTCTTTCTGACCTGTTCCCTGAACAGATGACTCCATATTCACTGATTCAGCCATTTTTATCTATAAATGGGAAAATGACTTGCTCTGGAAGGTAGCCCGAAGAAAGGACCTTGCAAGAGCCTTGCAACCATTTCACCACCTGCATGGTAACAGGAGATGTTTAAGAATAAGCAACAATCTTCGAGGAGCTGTCATTCAAATATTACCACACTCAAACTCTTGACCTTTCCAATAAATGTTGCAAATGCTACAGTAAAATTAGAGTTCAGCTCTGTGAGATGAGGCATCTGAGGAGTTTCAACTGCACTCATTATATATTTATATAGAGCACATAAAAATTGTATAAATATGCTGGTAGGGGACAGCCTGCATATAGATGTGAAGTACATGGTGATGGCTGCATCATTTCTTTTGTCTTCTGACGACAAATCCTGCCTCCACATCTGTTACTATTCCAAGTGTCATCAATTTTTTACAGCATGGAAAGAAGTCCTTTGGCCCATCTTGTTCGTGATGGTTATTAAGCATCTGTCTATTCTAGTTCTACTTTCCAGTATTGTAGCCTCATATAGCATAGCATTTCACGTGTTCATTTAATTACTTCTTAAATGCCTTGAAGGTTCCTGCCCCACCACCCTTTTTAGGCGGTGAATTCCAGGTACCCGTTCGGTGAAAATATTTTTCTTCAAATCCTCTTTAAACCTTCTGCTCCTTAGAACTGTACTCCCTGGTTGTTGACCTTTCTAATTAGTGGAAAAGTTTCTCCCTCTCTAACCTATCTATGCACCTCCTAATTTTGTACTTCTCAACCAGGTCCTTCTCCACCCTTCTCTTCTCTAAGGAAAACAACACCAGTCTATCTAGTTTTCCTTAATTGCTAATTTGCTCCAGCCCAGGAAACGTCATTGTGAATCTCCTGTACACCCTCTCTCATGCAGTGGTCAATCTCTGCATGTTTTCTGATCTGAAAAGATGACACAGCCCGTCTTGTGGCTGGGCACCTGCCATTAGTTTTCATCTAATGTGACAGCAATCCAGCAATTTATTTTATTATTTGTTCATGATATGTGGGCATCATGTGACATTAGTTGCCTTAATTTCCTCACCCATTCAAACTTATCTCCCTCTGAACTGACTGCACTCCATGCTCAGATTCAACCCTGACTTTGTAATCAAGCCTGCCAACAAAGATGTTCTTGTCTGGTGTACTGACATCTACATGAAAGAAGCTGAGCACCAATTTTCGGACACCTCCTCCTATCTCCTCCGGACCATGACCCTACCATTGAACGTCAGGCTATTATATTCATGATGTTCACTAATCTCATCTTTTCTGGGTATACCACTCCACCGCCACCTCTCCCAGGCTCCAAATTCAGTGTCCTAATCCCACGCAGCCTGCTACTACTTCTTTCTAAAATCCACAGGACACCTCAGGCAGACCCATTGTTCCTGCCAACAGAAAGTATCTCTTCTACCTCGACTCGATTTTTATTCCCTTTGTCCATTTCCTTCCAACTTACTTCCACAGTTCTTCTGATATTTTATGTCCAATTTGCAGCCTCCTCTTCACCACGGACATGCAATCCTTTTAAATCCCATCCCCCATCAGGATGGTCTCGGGGCTCTCTGCTTGTTCTTAGAAAGAAGGCCTGAACCGTCCCAACCAGCACCACCACCCCCAACGTGGCTGAACTCATCCTCGCTTTAAACACTTGCCCTTTAACTCCTCTTACTTTCTTCAGATCAAAGGTTTGGCCATGGATATCT